GTTTGTGCTAATCATGCCAAGGAATCGATGTATTTTTAACAGGAAGTGGGAGGAACAATACAACTGGGTAAGGGAACTGAAAGGCGATCGATGTAAGACCCACTGTTTACGATGGTCAAAAGATATAGACCTCGGAAAGATGAGGGAATCGGCGTTGAAGAGTCACGCCAAATGATTAAAACATGCACACGCCAACGGAATGTTAAAAAAAAACAAACTAAGTTACCTAATATAAAAGTTGAAAAGAAAACTGAATCGGATATTCCCGCAGTCACGGATGACAAGACGACATAGTCACAGCACATTCCAGATGCTCCCCGACCGCCACCTACCGTAAGTGTCATATACGTCCTTGGTGTTGTTGAACATGGCATGGGTAATTTTATTACAAAATCCGAAGTGTTGAAAGCTGAGGTTTTGTGGACAATTCAATCAATTGTAAACAATAACTCATACAAGTCTAACGAAACCACCTCAGCACTTTTTAAGACGATGTTTCCCGATAGTAAAGTGGCCAGCATGTTTACATGTGGTGAAAGAAAAACGGTCTACATTTGTGTTTTTGGAGTAGCAGATCGTCTCAAAACAATTGTCAGCCAGAAAGTAACAGACAAATATGTAGTTATGTTTGATGAAAGTCTAAAGAAGCTACAAATGAAGCAGATGGATTTCCATTTGAAATCCTGGGACAAAGAGGGGATTATGGTGTAAACAAAATACTATGGATCACAATTTCTTGGACATGGCACAGCCACTGATATCGTTGGACATTATAACAAGGGTGTTAGCAGTCTTCCACAAAGGAACATTATCCAAATCTCCATGGATGGACCCAATGTGAATTGGAATTTTTATGATATGATAAAACAGAGAATGAAAGCTGACAATGATGTATCCCTGATCAACATAGGCTCTTGTGGTCTTCATGTAGTACACAACTCATTTAAGACAGGAATTGAAGCAACAACATGGGACTTATCTAGTACCCTGGCATCCTTATACTACCTATTTAAGGTAATTAATCTGTAATCATTAGAAAGTAAATTTAACTGAAATTCACATAAAAGTAAAGCATGATTAAATATATAAATATGTTTCAAACCATTATCAATAGTTTTAGTAGTCCATGTATCTATTGTAATTTTGGTAAATGCTCATTTTTGGAATGCATTTAATGTGTGGGTAATTCTGTGTTTATTTATTGTAGTTATGTGTTATTATTAAGTATTTACATTTTACAGGATAGTCCAGCCCGCAGGGAAGATTTCATAACAGTCACAGGTTCAGCTTTAGTGCCCTTGAAGTTTGTCTCGCACAGATAACGAAATAAATGTTTCAACTGAATGACATAGACAGTTTAATAACTTTATATACATTATTGTCAAATATTTGATCAAAAATTGTGACCACAGACCCATGATCATCTGTTTAACATTTCATTTTTTTAACACTATCAGAGCTTTTGACTTTTAGTTGATCCACTTTTATCTTGTAGGTGGGTGGAAAATGTTCCAGTGTGTGAGGGAGCCATCAAAGTATGGGACAGTGTTACTCTGTATGCAAAGAAAGCTGAGAAGAAGGAAGAGACAAAACCAACAAACAAATCTTATGGAATTATATTAGCAGCAGTGAAAGACAATCTTATCATTGCAAAGCTTCAGTTTTTCACTTCATGGCTTTACATCTATCATTTTTGGGAAATTACCAAACAAACAAACCAATGTCACCTTTCCTATACTAAGAACTCTTCAGTATTGTAAAAGAAATGTTGAGAATGGTTCTTAATCCCTAGAAATGTTGCCAGATAGCAATTTGTCTGGTTTGGATCTTGACAATAAGAGTTATCTCCCTTACACAAAAGTTGCAATTGGTTTCTCGACAGAAAAAGCATTGAAGGATGCAAAGTGTACAAGCCGTCAAGTCATGAAATTCCTTATCCAGTGCTGGAATTGTGTGCTTAAACTTGTGAAGAAACTTCTTGAAAAGAGTCCTCTGAATTACAGTCTTTGCTAAGAACATCAGCTGTTTGAACCCAAAAGAGATGGTTCACCACAACAGTGCATGTCCTATTAAACTGAAGAAACAGAGTGGATGAAAGAGAATGCGAGTTGTGTATCACACAATATAAAGACTTTCTGGAGGCTATCCCATCTATTGGAACAGACCTTTTCTCAAACTATGACCCATATTTGGATGTAGACAGGATAGATGTATTCCTAGGTACTAGGTATGGGAAAGAAGCAACAGTATAAAAACATATTTGAAGTGGTGAAAATGTTATTAATCCTGTCACATTGGCCGGCCCAAGTTGAAAGAGGATTCTCCATCAATAATAAAATTGAAGTGGAGAACATGAAGCAAGAAACACTAGTTGCCCAGTGTTTGATTTTTGACTATGTGAGTGAAGTGGGTGGGGTCTTAAATGTCCCTCTTACCAAAGAACTACTGTCCAGTGCTAGAGCAGCCAGACAGAAGTATGATTTATACATAGCAGAACAAAGAGACATGAAAAAACTGATCAACAGGAATGAAAGCGCAAGGCTTCGGAGGAAGAAGTAAACAATCTTAGAAAGAAACTAAAGCAACCTCAACAGGACCAGGAGTCACTGCTGAAATCAGCAGATACATTTTCTCAAAGAGCTGAGGAAGAAGACAATCTCACTCACTTGTCACATTCTAATTCCCTTCGCAGGAGTGCAAAGGAAAAGGTTGCACAGTGCAAAAACTGACTTGATTGAAAGAAAAGTGAATGCTCTTAAATACTGTTGATTTGGTATAGTATACCATATATAACAGTATAATACAGTTGAATATGAATGATGACTCTAAGTCACCTCTGACCTTTATTAAAATATCTGAAATCAGTATACATATTGTTATGTTTTCTGCATTTGTCATTGTAAAATGTACTTAATATTTCTGAACAAAAAGCCTTAAAAAAGTGAATAGGGCCTTGATCAGTTCTTGAATTTTATCTTGGAAAGTTTGTATGAACCATGTGGCATTAAGACCAATCTCTACTGACATTGAGACCAATCTCTACTGACAATGAGACCAATCTCTGATGACATTAAGACTAATCTCCTGACATTTAGACCAATCTCTACTGACATTGAGACCAATCTCTGATGACATTGAGACCAATCTCCACTGACATTGAGACCAATCTCTGATGACATTAAGAATAATCTCCTGAAATTTAGACCAATCTCTACTGTCATTGAGACCAATCTCTGATGACATTAAGACTAATCTCCTGACATTTAGACCAATCTCTACTGACATTGAGACCAATCTCTGATGACATTGAGACCAACCTCCACTGACATTGAAACCAATCTCTACTGACATTTAGACCAATCTCTACTGACATTGAGACCAATCTCTGATGACATTAAGACTAATCTCCTGACAATTAGACCAATCTCTACTGACATTGAGACCAATATCTGATGACATTAAGACCAATCTCCACTGACATTGAGACCAATATCTGATGACATTAAGACTAATCTCCTGACATTTAGACAAATCTCTACTGACATTGAGACCAATCTCTGATGACATTAAGACCAATCTCCACTGCCATTGAGACCAATGTGCTGACACTGAGACCAATCTCTGATGAAATTAAGATCAATCTGCTGCCATTGACACCAATCTCTACGGAATTTGAGACCAATCTTTGCTGACAATGAGACCAATCTGCTGACATGGGAACCAATCTCTGATGACAATGAGACCAATCTCTGATGACATTAAGATCAATATCTACTGACATCGAAACCAATCTCTGATGACATTGAGATGACAGTGAGACCAATCTCTGCTGACATTGAGACCAATCTCTACGGACATTAAGTCCTATCTTTGTCTACTAGGTGTCAGCTCAATGTTTTATCTTTGTCTACTAGTTGTCAGTTCCATGTTTGATCTTTGTCTACTAGTTGTCGGTTCCATGTTTTGTCTTTGTCTACTAGTTGTCAGCTCAATGTTTTATCTTTGTCTACTAGTTGTCAGTTCCATGTTCTATCTTTGTCTACTAGTTGTCAGCTAAGTGTTTTATCTTTGTCTACTAGTTGTCAGTTCCATGTTTTGTCTTTGTCTACTAGTTGTCAGTTCCATGTTTGATCTTTGTCTACTAGTTGTCAGCTCAATGTTTTATCTTTGTCTACTAGTTGTCAGTTCCATGTTCTATCTTTGTCTACTAGTTGTCAGCTCAGTGTTTTATCTTTGTCTATTAGTTGTCAGCTCAGTGTTTTATCTTTGTCTACTAGTTGTCATCTCTGTGTTTGATCTTTGTCTACTTGTTGTCAGCTCTGTGTTTTATCTTTGTCTACTAGTTGTCAGTTCCATGTTTGATCTTTGTCTACTAGTTGTCAGCTCGGTGTTTTATCTTTGTCTATTAGTTGTCAGCTCGGCATTTTATCTTTGCCTACTAGTTGTCCGTTCCATGTTTTGTCTTTGTCTACTAGTTGTCAGCTCTGTGTTTTATCTTTGTCTTCTAGTTGTCAGCTTGGTGTCTACTAGTTGTCAGCTTGGTGTTTTATCTTTGTCTACTAGTTGTCAGTTTCATGTTTTATCCTTGTCTACTAGTTGTCAGCTTGGTGTTTTATCTTTGTCTACTAGTTGTCAGCTCTGTGTTTTATCTTTGTATGCTAGTTGTCAGTTCTATTTCTTATGTTTGTCTTCTGGTTGTCAGTTTTATGATAAATTAATAAGGCCACCAGCAGATATCTTGATTATATGATCAAGCTAAAGATAAGAATGACCATACATATTTTTGTACTGACCATATACATGTCCCATGATTATGATGATCATTTTGGCAATTTTTGAGGAATAGAAGTTACAGACTGCAAATTATCAAAATTTGAAAATGTTGTCAACTAATAGCCATAAAGAATATGAAATCAAGATGGAGGCTGGGTAAGAAGTTGACTTCCAATGATAAGATAAATGGTGAGTTAATGAAATCATGTAAATTTTATTCCCCACTTTTCGTATCTTGATATTGGACTCTATGAAGATTCGTGTAACTTCATATGCTTCCTATGGCTGGATCTTCGTTGGAATCCCTGATCACATAAATGACATGGATAAAGTTTCTCTCCAGTATGTATCAACACATGCGACCTTAAACTTGTGGCTACCCTGAACATTTTATCACAAATATCACACTTGAAAGGTTTCTCTCCGGTATGGGTCCTATAGTGAACTTTTAAAGTTCCGGCATCACAGAAATCCTTATCACAGATATCACAACGGAATGGTTTTTCACCTGTATGGGTCCTGAGGTGAGCCTGAAGATTTCCCAATTGTGACATAACCTTACCACATATATAACATTTGAATTCTTTTGTCTCACCAGTGTGTGTTCTGATATGTGACTTCAGATTTCCTTTTTGAATGAATCCTTTTCCACAGAAATCACATGAGAATTCCTTTTCTCCTGTATGTATTTTCAAGTGTGTTTGAAGATGATCTTTCTTACTGAATCTTTTTCCACAGACATCACATTCATGTGGCTTCTCTCCGTCATGTCTCTTGATATGAATTTGAAGATAACGTTTTCGACTAAATCCTTTTCCACAGATTTCACAATCGTGTGGCGTTTCTCCAGTATGTATAGTGTTATGTCTGTCCAAGTGTTGAACACTAATAAACTTCTTACCACAAACATTACACTGGTATGGATTCTTATCTTTATGGAGCGACATGTCACAGCTTTTGGAACTTTCTCTTCTATGAGTACCAAGATGTGTCTGTAGGTTTGCATTTTGATTAAATCTTTTTCCACACACCTCACATTTATACTTCTTATCTCCTCTATGAACTGAAAGATGTCTATTTAGATGGAAAGCACTAATAAAGTCATTACCACAAACATCACATTTGTATGACCTCTCAACTGTATGTGTCAGATGGTGCATGCGCAAACTAGACGTGGAGCTGAAAAACTTTCCGCAATCCTCACATTCCCATGTTTTTTGTCCTGTATGTGTCATCAGGTGTACTTGTAGAATAGAATTTTGATTGAATCCTTTGCCACACACTCCACACATGTACGGTCTCTCCCCCGTGTGGATTTTCATATGTCGATGTAAATGATGTTTAAAACCAAATCCTTTACCACAGGTATCACACTGGTGTGGCTTCACGCCTGTATGTGCTTTGACATGTATAGAGAGATTGCTTCGACGTCTAAACTCCTTAGAACATACCTCACACTTATAGCTTTCGCTTCCCGCTTTATTTTTCATATCAAATGTAACAGCAAAATCCCCATCATGATCATCAACCTGGTCTGATGGTCTTTTTTCAGGTACATGTACATTCTGACTAATCTGCTCATGAAGTGCTTCATCAACCTTGTTTTCACTTGATTTTGGCTGGTAATCGATATCTATTGTATGTGTTCCATTGTTAGCATTTAATCCTGAAGGGTGAGTTACCTCCCCTTCTTCAACAACGGACATGTACATTATAGTGTCACCACTTCGACCTGCCATGTTTCTTCTTTTGTCTCATTTTTATGAGAAAAGTCAATTTGTGGAAGTCATATATGGCAAGTTTAACATTGACAATCATATTTTCATTTCAATTTCTTGTGCTGCTGAAAAATACAAAACTACATAAATACAAGTTAATGGTATATGGAACATATACGGAAGACTGAATTATACATTGATAATAGTCATATAAATAAAATGTGGAAGTGAAGGTTTCTCAACATCTAAGAACTTTATTATTGTGATGTCATAATCATCCTAGGACTACTGTGATTAACAGTGTTATTGTATAATCAGTGTATTTTGTAAACCAATCAGCTTATATCACATATAATATCATATGTGCGACAATATTATCTATGTGATTGAATACAGACTAATCAGTTTACAAAAATACTCATTTCACAAACATATATTGAAGTTTATAAAACATTTCCCCGGACCAGGACTGCTATCATATACATTTATGTACATGTATATACAAACAATATGTCTTGGGTATAAGTTGAGTTAGGTAAAAATATATTTATTAAATTTTGTGTTAGCTTATCAATAAACAATGCATCCTAATGATACAGATCCACGTGTGGTTTCACGCCGACTTAAGCTAAAAAAGATGGCTAATTTTTCAAAGTTTGATCGAAATTCCTAAAGGAATGAAACTACTAGAATACTTTAAAACAGGCAAACGTTTTTTTTCCCGAAAATAGTAACGGTGACCTAGACTCTAGCTATAACCCTGAATCTTCAACTCATCTGTGTATTAGGGTCCTTTATGTGAATGTGGAGTTTAATAATAAAAAAAGAATTCTTCGAAAACGGGGCTACCCAAAAGCTGGCAATACTAAACGACCATTAGCACTCACTGGGTATACTTATATTATATAGGGCTTAATTCTCAACGATAAGCATACATGCCAGTCCTGTGCTTAAAGCGAGTAAAATATCCACGGTTTCATGGTGCTCTCTGTAAGTATGGTGTTACGTGTGTGCTTTTTAAAAAGTTATACCTGTTGACAGATGTATTTTCGACACATTGATTCGATCTGCTTGCACCAAGCGCTTGTATCGCGCGGAGGGATGCTGCTACAAGACTGATCTGGATTGCGTTACGTCGGCCTCGCACTCTACTCGATACTAATTGCACAGACCGACAGCGACTGTAACCCTTGGGGTACCGAGGATGAACCTAATAACATATAGAAAATTAACCATATATACGTGAAAATTATGGAAAGATTTTCAAATTGTTTGATCATCTGAAGGTACACATACAACAGCATGAACGGGATCAGTGAAATATGTATCACAGGAGATACCTGTACAAATGTGATGTCTGTAGACGGCTTTAACAAAGTCTACGGGATAACCTCAAAACATACCAACAGAAGAAGTCTTATAATCGTGATGTCTGCTCCGTAGAATTTAATAATTAAAGTCAAGTCTGCGGAATTGCCTCAAAAATTATATAAATGTGATGTCTTTGCAATAGAATGTAAAACTACACTGTCACGTGATCATTCAAAGTTGTACAAGGTGAAAAGTCCTGTAAATGTGCTGTCTGTGACAAGGGATTCAATATAAACCCTAATCTGCAGAAACACGTCGAAACTCATTAAAACCGAAAGCAAAACAAATCTGTTTCTTCTGGTACAGAGACACCTAGAGATACATAAAAAGAAATGTATACAAATATGAAGTGTGTCGTCTTGAATGAAAAACGAAAGTAAATCTTCAGAGACGTGTCAGGATACACAAACGAGTGAAATCGCGTGCCTGCGAAGTCTATGACGAGGAAATAAATATGAATTAAGTCTTCAGAAGCATATTTTGGTACAGGAATAAAAACTTAGATTACAAGTGTGATATTTGTGATCTTGAATTTATCCAAAAAGTTTACACATATACAAGAAGTGAAAACCCTTTTATTAATGTGATAGATGTTTCATCGGAATTCTGACTTGAATTTTACTGCAAAATACATGCAGTGTATTTGTACAAATATGAAACTACCAATATTTCAGCATTGACCTTCTGTCTACCCGAGAAAATTATTATCGTAACGTTACAAGTCTAAAGACCCTTTTTAGCCCAACGTCTGATGATGGTGGGCTATTCAAATCGCCTTACGTCCGTGGTCCGTCCGTCCGTTCGTCAACAATATTTGTTATTATTATTTCTTAAGAATTACTGATTGGATATCTCTCCAATTTCACAAGTATGCTCCATTTGGTCTCTCCTTGTGCCCTTTTGATTTTGGGATTGATGAGAAGATACATAACGGATCCCAGGTGGCTATTTTGATTTGGCAGGTAAAGATTATCATTGGGCGCTTAGATCCCCCAAACAAAGATTAAATTACCAATTTATTTTTAACTGGTAGCGTGATAACTGGCTGTATGTGTCCATGCGTGTATCTCTATCTGAGAAAATTCACTAAATCCTTTTCCACATTTCAACATGTTTTTTTCACGTCTGTATGTGTCTCTGCGTGTATCTCTAGGTCAGACGAATCGGTAAACTCTATATCAGAGATATCACTTGTGTACCTGTTACAATCTTCATCAGTTTACTTCAGTGTCAGCGTGACATCTCTACCTCCAGTTCTCACCAGTTTACTTCAATGTTACCGGGATGTGTCTTCCTCCAGTTCTCACCAGTTTACTTCAGTGTCACCGTGATATCTCTACCTCCAGTTCTCACCAGTTTACTACAGTGTCACCGGAATGTGTCTACCTCCAGTTCTCACCAGTTTACTTCAGTGTCACCGGGATGTGTCTACCTCCAGTTCTCACCAGTCTACTTCAGTGTCACCGGGATGTGTCTACATCCAGTTCTCACCAGTCTAATTCAGTGTCGCCGTGATATCTCTACCTCCAGTTCTCACCAGTCTACTTCAGTGTCACCGGGATGTGTCTACATCCAGTTCTCACCAGTCTACTTCAGTGTCACTGGGATGTGTCTATATCCAGTTCTCACCAGTCTACTTCAGTGTCGCCGTGGCATCTCTACCTCCAGTGCTCACCAGTTTACTTCAGTGTCACCGTGATATCTCTACCTCCAGTTCTCACCAGTTTACTACAGTGTCACCGGGATGTGTCTACCTCCAGTTCTCACCAGTTTACTTCAGTGTCACCGGGATGTGTCTACCTCCAGTTCTCACCAGTTTACTTCAGTGTCACCGTGACATCTCTACCTCCAGTTCTCACCAGTTTACTTCTGTGTCACCGGGATGTGTCTACATCCAGTTCTCACCAGTCTACTTCAGTGTCACCGGGATGAGTCTACATCCAGTTCTCACCAGTCTACTTCAGTGTCACCGGGATGTGTCTACATCCAGTTCTCACCAGTCTACTTCAGTGTCGCCGTGGCATCTCTACCTCCAGTGCTCACCAGTTTACTTCAGTGTCACCGTGATATCTCTACCTCCAGTTATCACCAGTTTACTTCAGTGTCACCGGGATGTGTCTACCTCCAGTTATCACCAGTTAACTTCAGTGTCACCGGGATGTGTCTACCTCCATTCTCACCAGTTTACTTCAGTGTCACCGGGATGTATCTACATCCAGTTCTCACCAGTCTACTTCAGTGTCACCGGGATGTGTCTACCTCCAGTTCTCACCAGTCTACTTCAGTGTCGCCGTGGCATCTCTACCTCCAGTGCTCACCAGTCTACTTCAGTGTCACCGGGATGTGTCTACATCCAGTTCTCACCAGTTTACTTCAGTGTCACCGTGACATCTCTACCTCCAGTTCTCACCAGTTTACTTCTGTGTCACCGGGATGTGTCTACATCCAGTTCTCACCAGTCTATCAGTGTCACCGGGATGAGTCTACATCCAGTTCTCACCAGTCTACTTCAGTGTCACCGGGATGTGTCTACATCCAGTTCTCACCAGTTTACTTCAGTGTCACCAGTTTACTTCAGTGTCACCGTGATATCTCTACCTCCAGTTCTCACCAGTTTACTTCAATGTCACCGGGATGTGTCTACCTCCAGTTCTCACCAGTCTACTTCAGTGTCACTGGGATGTGTCTATATCCAGTTCTCACCAGTCTACTTCAGTGTCACCGGGATGTGTCTACATCCAGTTCTCATCAGTCTACTTCAGTGTCGCCGTGGCATCTCTACCTCCAGTGCTCACCAGTTTACTTCAGTGTCACCGTGATATCTCTACCTCCAGTTCTCACCAGTTTACTTCAGTGTCACCGTGATATCTCTACCTCCAGTTCTCACCAGTTTACTACAGTGTCACCGGGATGTGTCTACCTCCAGTTCTCACCAGTCTACTTCAGTGTCACCGGGATGTGTCTACATCCAGTTCCTCACCAGTTTACTTCAGTGTCACCGGGATGTGTCTACCTCCAGTTCTTCACCAGTTTACTTCAGTGTCACCGGGATGTGTCTACCTCCATTCTCACCAGTTTACTTCAGTGTCACCGGGATGTGTCTACATCCAGTTCTCACCAGTCTACTTCAGTGTCACCGTGATGTGTCTACATCCAGTTCTCACCAGTCTACTTCAGTGTCGCCGTGGCATCTCTACCTCCAGTGCTCACCAGTTTACTTCAGTGTCACCGTGATATATCTACCTCCAGTTCTCACCAGTTTACTTCAGTGTCACCGTGATATCTCTACCTCCAGTGCTCACCAGTCTACTTCAGTGTCACCGGGATGTGTCTTCCTCCAGTGCTCACCAGTTTACTTCAATGTCACCGGGATGTGTCTACCTCCAGTGCTCACCAGTCTACTTCAGTGTCACCGTGATATCTCTACCTCCAGTTCTCACCAGTCTACTTCAGTGTCACCGGGATGTGTCTACATCCAGTTCTCACCAGTCTACTTCAGTGTCACTGGGATGTGTCTATATCCAGTTCTCACCAGTCTACTTCAGTGTCACCTCCAGTGCTCACCAGTTTATGTGTCTATATATCATCCAGTTCCTCACCAGTATCTACTCAGTGTCACAGTGTCACCGGGATGTGTCTACCTCCAGTTCTCACCAGTCTACTTCAGTGTCACCGGAATGTGTCTACCTCCAGTTATCACCAGTTTACTTTGATGTCACTGTGACTTGTCTACCTCCAGTTTCTCACGAAATATAGTCCTGATTCTGGTCGTCCTGACTTTAGTACCTTCTCGAACTGAAGCGTTAAAACAACAATGATTATTAGTTAATCGATGCGGTTACAAAAAGAAGACTGAAAGTAAGCTCTCAGCGGTTCACAGAACACTTTCTCTAATCCTTCCAGTCTTCACAATGCATGTTTAGCACAAAGACAGAATGGAGGTATGTTGTTAAGTGCGTTCTTATAAGGCATTACTATGCCTTATAACGGTATTCACCTTAGATAGTGTGAACGAAACTTTAGTCCATGTAGGCCAGGATGCTCCTCGACGAAACATTGATTACAATTAGCAGAGACTGATGGATCCGATTTGTATCTGTCCTCAAACGTTTGAAATTGCTGATGTAACAGTTACAGTTAAGGAGCTCAAGTTGCGTGGCTCCATCGGGTATTGTACCCACAACCCCTGGCTTAAATTACTCGACCAAATTTTCTCTCTCAAATATGTGATGATAAAGACTCTAGTGCCCCTCTCCATGTCTTCTTTCTATATCTGTTTGCATTTCTGTAAACTGTTCACTTTAACAATACCCACTTTCTTTAAAAGTCCATACCGTACCTGGCATCATATAGCTGTTCACATTTGGACATTTTTATAATAATAGTTGTGATTGTGATGTTACCCCAGGGCTTGCAACAAAAGGGTATCATCACTTTTTGACCATCCCAACCTATTTCTAGGTTTCCAGTGATAAGGAAATTGTGACGGTTTTGTCGTCCTCGTCGGTCATTACTTTTTTGGTCTCTAAGTTGTTGTTCTTCCAGCTGTTTCTTACTATGTGTCCTTGTCCCCAAATAAAAGTCTAATTGTCAGTATTGCATGTTTTTCACTTGTCAGACCATCCCGACCTATTTTTAGGTTTCCCATGTTAAGGAAATGGTGACGGTTTTGTCATTGAGTTGTTACTTGTTTTGGTTTCTTAATCGTAGTTGTTGTTCTGGTCCTTTCGGCTGTTTTCCATTTCCTTTGTCCTGGATTCTTACCGTGTGTCTTTGGTCCCTGAGTTAAAGTCTCGCCGTCAGTCGAGGTAACTTGTATTTTGCTTTTGTAAACATAACGTCTGAAGCTATTGGAATGTTCATTTTGTTCATTATGTAAAAGGACCACTATATCTTTTTTGGCCGTTTTTGATCAATGTGACACTATAATATTTTAACTGAGATAATTCAACACCACAATAATCACACTAAAAACAATTTAATGCCCAAATTCTACATATAAACCGCCCGATTCTGTCCAGTCCTCTAAATCGTCTTTCGGTCCTGTGCGGCACATTACGTTATGTGAAAGGACCACCATATCTTTTTTGGCCGTTTTTGATCAATGTGACACTATAATATTTTAACTGAGATCATTTAACACCACAATAATCACACTAAAAACAATTAAATGCCAAATTCTACATATAAACCGCCCGATTCTGTCCAGTCCTCTAAATCGTCTTTCGGTCCTGTGCGGCACATTACGTTATGTGAAAGGACCACCATATCTTTTTTGGCCGTTTTTGATCAATGTTACACTATAATATTTTAACTGAGATAATTCAACACCACAATAATCACACTAAAAACAATTTAATGCCCAAATTCTACATATAAACCGCCCGATCTTCGTCTTTCGGTCCTGTGCGGCACATTATATTATGTGAAAGGACCACCATATCTTTTTTGGTCGTTTTTGATCAATGTGACACTATAATATTTTAACTGAGATAATTAAACACTACAATAATTACACTAAAAACAATTTAATGTCCAAATTCTACATATAAACCACCCGTCCAGTCCTCTAAATCGTCTTTCCCTGTCCACATTACGTTATGCAAATCGTTTTTGATCAATATGAAATTATAATATTATAACTGAGATAATTAAACACTACAATAATTACACTAAAAACAATCTAATGTCCAAATTCTACATATAAACCGCCCAATTTTGCCCCATCCTGCAAATCGTCTTTCAGTACAGTGCGGCACATTAAGTTATGTGAAAAGAACATAATTTCTAAATACATAATAAAAATATTAAGTTGGAAAGGACTAAACATTATCTGGTTGTTTTTCATTGACTATCTTAAAGCTGATCTTCTGTTTTTATTCTATTATCTTTTACTGTTAATTTTCTGTTTATTTTCTGTCCTTTCAGTGCACGTCAATCTACCATACCAGACAATTGAAGTGAACTGTTATTATTGTACATCATTTACAAGTTCAGTAACCAACATAGATTCTAGATCGGTATAGCTTTTATATAAGTGAGCTGGCTCAGGGAACAAGTGGTGTTTTGAAAAAAAAGTTCAGGGGACAAAGTTGTTTAGTATCAATGAGAAAACAACAAATTCTCCTTACAGATATCAATCCTTCACGGTTAGTATATCTGGAACCCATGATCTTGAAGAAAAAGCTTTGAATCAATATATATACACAGTTTTATTAGGGATATTTGTGTTTAAAACTTGGACTAGCAGGACTAACACTTTCATTATATAATGATGGATTATGGGGAGAATGAATAATTGTGAACCTTTACATCTAAATTCAGTATGCATATAAGATATATCATAAGTTATCTCTCTTAATACAGTGCATCTCTACACACCATTGTAATTAAGGTATGTACTGTGTGTAGGAATTTTGATATTGTATGTATAGAAGATGAGAGTACAGGTCACTTTAAGAGCCTTGGCTAGTGGGGATTTCCCTTTAGTCAAACAGTAGAGAGTCTGGCTAGAAACTGAGCGGTCACTAGTTTGAACCCCAGCAGGGGAAGGAGGTTTTTCATTGCTCCTTCCTATTACTCATGTACCAGGTATAGAGTTTAGAAGTTTTAATGATGCAAGTCGGAGTGTAATATTTAGAAATATTAATCAGTCTATTCTATTGATAACTTTCATTCATTATTACTATTATAACATGTGCCTTGACATAAAGTTTCTACAGCCATCAGACAGCTATAGTGGTGAAATCACACTTAATCTGTAAGTTGATCCGTTGTCTGTTTGCTGTCCACCTGTCCTGAACAAATTGTGGGTATTGTTTTTTCACAAATATCATATGTAGATTTCCCTTGTTTTCTTAAAGTCTAAAATCAGCTATGTGGGACTTTGAAACCTGAAGTTTCTTGAGAAGCACAGCATGGGCCTGTCTCAAACGTATATACTCTCTTTGGTCTTTAGTTGTGTATGTTAAACTTTAGGACAGATCGAAAAACCAAGATGGCCAAATTGAGTATTGAAAGTTGTGTTTGTTGTCACAATTACTAGTGAACTTTCGTATGCAAATGTCTATAGAACCTCACAACTCCTAACCGTTCACTGTCCAACTGATTAAAAGAACAAACTGTAGTTGGTTATAATTATGTCTTGAATAGTTTCAGATGGATTTTTTTATTTGATTTATAAATTCCTATTTAGTCCTTAATTGTACGGAATAATTGATTTTTGGAGAGATAGGGGAAAAAAAGGTAAGGAAGAGAAATGATACAGTTGATAAAGAACCAATAAAAATCAAACAGCAAAGGATTCTGGGATATCTTCTTGTTTTACACCTGTTTTAATGCAGAGCTATATGTGATTGGCTAGAACTTTAAATTGTTCCATTTTAACATCATAACTTGTGATGTCATATATATTGTGATGGTGATATCATATATATTGTGATGTCATGTATATTATGATGTCATATAAACTGTGGTGTTATATAAATTGTGATGTCATATATATTGTGAGGTCATACATATTGTGATGTCATGTATATTATGATGTCATATAAATTGTGATGTTATATAAATTGTGATGTCATATATATTGTGATGGTGATGTCATATATATTGTGATGTCATGTATATTATGATGTCATATAAATTGTGATGTTATATATATTAGGATGTTACCAAAGAAAGAAATAACAAGAGTCAAATTAGATTATCAATAAATGTATATCTAATAATATTTTCATAAATATTTGCAAAGTATCTTAGGTTCTTTGAGAGTGCAGGAAAAGGGAGAGGAGCCAGCACCTTGCTTCTTTACGGTAGTGTACCAGGTTTATCATCTAGGCACGGATAACTTCAGGCTGATTGTGTATGACTTGTACATATGAACTCGAAGGTGCATTCACAACAAAACCTGATGTATTCTGTTGATGATAATTTGTTCATATTTAAACAATATTAATGTAAATATAAATAAGGCATTAACAGAGTATATCAGGTTGTTTTGTTGTTACACCTACTTCTTAATAAGTCATTTGATAAACAGAATCTTTCATTCATTTCTATTTCAGAGAATAATCAAGAAACTAGTCACAAATTTTCAATCTTACCGTCTATAATTCTAGAGCCACTGTTAAATCCAAATTTCTAGTTCTTGTTTTATTGGCGATCTCCTCTGGTAATTGTGTTCTGATATCACAATGATGGACCACTTTGTTGTTATATATTTACTTTTTGTTTCAGGTTTTGGGTCCTTTACAACAGAAATGACAGCTGGTATCGGAAAACAAATCCTATTCAAGAAATCATAATTAGAAGAAATTGTGATGTATGACGAACAGAAATTAAAAAGTTTGTTCAAACTGGATGAAATTTTTACTGTAAGATAATTTATACCAATTATGATGTAGACAATTTCAAAACTATGGTATCATATTCATAACGTCAGCAATTTGTCTTGACTAGATGTCAAGGAGAACTGAAGAACATCTTCTGAAATACAATAAACTCTGAATTTGTTACCTGATTCTTGTTCAATAAAAATTATATCACAGTATCCGTACTGCAGTGCATAATAGAAACATGTCTGATGTTGTGGCTACAGACATTGATTTAGGACCCAGTCTGCAAAAGCACACAAGGACACGTACTGGAGACAAAACATGTAAATGTGATATATGTGGTAAGGAGTTTAATTTCTTGTCGAAACTTTTGAGACATCGACGAACACATACTGGAGAGAAGCCGCATGCCTGCAACGTTTGTGGTAAAAGATTTAAGGAGACATCACATCTACAGGGACATCTCAGGACACACACCGGAGAAAAACCATATAAGTGTGATGTCTGTGGTAAACGATTTAAGGAGGCATCGCACCTCAAAAAACACCTCAGGACACATATGGAGCAAAAACCATTCAAGTGTGATGTCTGTGGTAAAGAGTTCAAGGAAGCATGTCAAGTACGGGAACACATCATGACTCACACAGGAGAGGCGTGCCATTCGTGTGAGATTTGTGGTAAAAATTTCATCAAAGCATATGGTCTTAGGGTACATATCAGAACACATACAGGTGAAAAACCATTCAAGTGTGACGTCTGTGGGAAAGGCTTTAGCCAGGCTGCAAATCTACAGACACATATCAGAACACATACAGGTGAAAAGCCATTCAAGTGTGACGTCTGTAGTAAGGCGTTCAGTGATGCATCAAGTTTGCAGGTGCATGTAAGGATACATACGGGAGAAAGGCCATACATCTGTGATGTTTGTAATAAGATGTTTACAGCAGCATCCAGTCTTCAAAGACACTTCAGAACACATACGGGGGAGAAACCATACAAGTGTGAGGTTTGTGGTAAAGGGTTCACAGCCGCGTCAAACCTACAGACCCATACACGAACTCATACGAGAGAAAAACCATACAAGTGCTACATCTGTAGCAAGGCATTTTGTAAGTCAGCTTACCTGCAGACTCATCTCAGAATACATGCAGGGGAAAATCCGTTCGAATGTGAAATTTGTGGTAAAGGATTTACACAAGCTGCTAATCTACGAACTCATATGCGAATTCACACAAGGGACAAGTCGTTATCTATTGAAACAACAAAAGTTTTATCTGTTGAACGAGTGAACTCTGAGAAGTTTATGTCTGTCGAAAGTGTGGACTCCGAGAAGTTTTTAACTGTCGAAAGTGAGGACTCCGAGAAGTTTTTAACTGTCGAAAGTGTGGACTCCGAGAAGTTTTTAACTGTCGAAAGTGTGGACTCTGAGAAGTTTTTAACTGTTGAAAGTGAGGACTCCGAGAAGTTTTTGTCTGTCGAAAGTGAGGACTCCGAGAAGTTTTTGTCTGTCGAAAGTGTGGACTCCGAGAAGTTTTTAACTGTCGAAAGTGTGGACTCCGAGAAGTTTTTGTCTGTCGAAAGTGAGGACTCCGAGAAGTTTTTGTCTGTCGAAAGTGAGGACTCCGAGAAGTTTTTATCTGTTGAAAGTGTGGACTCTGAGAAGTTTATGTCTGTTGAAAGTATAGAATCTGACGATTGAGTTGGGGAGTATGAAGAAAGTCATGGGTAGGGGTGCTCTGATTTTTGCTACAATTCACAGATACATTTCCATTTTTGTTTTGGAAAACTTATTTGTAAAACGACTTTAATCACAGTAGAACTGTGTCATCCACTTATTGATGTATAGATTTACAGCACAATCAGATAGTGTCATGAATATTGTTAAACATTTTATGTCCAACTTGAGAGAAAAGTAGTCAATCATCTCTCTTTAATGTTGATAAAGATTTATTAAACCATGGGGTGAGATTTTAAAAGATCAGCACACAGCAACGTCTCATTAACAATAAAATCCTGCCCTTTGGTTAAGATATCACTCTCTGTTAGTCTGTATATTTGTCGGCAACTTAAGGTGTTCAAAATCATTCACTTCATGCCTTATTGTCATCATTTATCTAACCGTATGTAACAGCTTCCATAGATATTACTGCTTTTGCAGGGTTAATATTTTTCAGATGTCCTGGATGGGACAAGTCCAGGGGTAATAAATTTTGCACATGTCTGAAACATTGTGACTGATACAGAGATAAAAACTCTTTTGATTGGCTGTAGAAATATTTCTTAGACGCTTAATTTTGTGTTATTTTTTAGTTAATGACTGTAAATATAGCAGAATAAAAACCCCTGCAAAACTTAGCAACTATACAGTATAAAAAAAATTGCAAGTTAATATTATTTCATTGTTCTGTAGTAAGCCTGCCTCAAGACCTTGTGTAAGAAGTACATATAATTTATGTGATATGTTGGTCATCCAGGCTTATTGTCCTGTACTAAGTCCACCCTAGACTTTGAGTAGTAATGTGTTTAGCCCCTGGGCTTATTGTCCTGTGATAAGTCCACCACATACTTTGAGTAGTAATATGTTAAGTCCCTGGGTTTATTGTCCTGTGATAAGTCCACCACATACTTTGAGTAGAAATATGTTAAGCCCCTGGGCTTATTGTCCTGTGATAAGTCCACACCAGACTTATTGTAGTGATGTGTTAAGCACCTAGTCTTATTGTCCTGTAATAAGTCTTCTGCCAGACTTATTGTAGTGATGTGTTGGGCCAAGGGCTTATTATCCTGTAATTAGTTTATCCCCAAGCTATAGAGTAGCTCTAACAATCACTTATGAATAATGACCAGGTTTACAAACTTCTTTTGTTTTTACTTCTGCTGAATCTAAGTTTTAAATTATGCTTGTCCTAAACTAAAATTTATTAAGACTGATTGAAATGAAGTTTCAGTTTTTTTTTAAAACATTGTGCATGTGCAGTATCAGATATATTAATATTTTTTTACGTCTAGCTCCTTCTTAAGAACTATTATGCCTGACATCATTATATTTTGATTGTAATTCATGTAAATATGTATACGAGATAGATTCATATCCTGTTCTGTTGGGATTAATGAAGTTTGAGCATAAATATGTGTGCACATTTATGCTACCATTATACCACGATTATTTGAGGGGTTACTATCTGTCTTTCCCTTGGTTTTACAAAGGAGGGAATGTATCCCTCCTAAAGGCTGGACCCACCAAGTAAGTTAAGAAAGGATTCAATTTTCTCTTGGGACTGAGTGAAAAAGTTAGAGAATTGAAGTTGGTTTTCTCTGAGAAGCCTGAGTGATAAAGGACAAATTTATCTCTCATGAGGACCAAGTCCTTAGAGGGAAGGAAGAGAGTATCTCACCTAGGGACTAGGCCCCAAAAGTAATGGAATGGTCCGTCTCTACTTTGTGATTATATAGGAAATGTAATGAAGAACTATTCTATTTCCTTCGGGGGGATGGGAGGAAAGAGGAGGCAGGAGGTGAGGAGGAGGGAGCTGGGCCCTAAAAGGATTTCTTCTGGAGTCCAACCCAAACAAGAAGAATTTCTATGTTTAAGAAAGTAGAAAGTATTCTAAGCAATACTTTGTGAATGAGACATTTGGATTATACTCACTGTAAAAGTGATTTAGATGAAATTTCTCTACATTCTCTCTGTTATAATGTTATATGTACAAGTATTCTGATCCTACTGTTAATATCAGTGTAACATTCCTAGAGAGAATCAATAAGTTTAATGTATCTTTTGTTATGTTGATTTAGATTGAAAATAATCTAATATTATTTACACATATTTTCCATTTCATGGTTTAAAAATATTGCAAGGTTTTTCATTTATGAATGAAGGAAATATTTAGAGATTAACCTCAATGATTTATATTTAAAATAAATTGAATTTTGAGGAAACTTATTATTGATTTAACTATTCTAACCATTTTTGGATACAAATAAAGTGGTTTTAGAAAGATGTGGTGTATTTCATATGTACCAAGTGTTCTGCAGAATCTGAGGTTTAGTGGATGTGTTTAATGAGATAGGTGCTAGATGAAAAGCTGATAATGATGGGGTTCCAACTAATGTTATATTTCCTATAGCGGTTTTTAATCTTTGCTTATTTGTAGTACTTTAAATGATGATACAAAATAAACACATGGATTTTCGTCTTCTAGATTAAAAAAGGCCCAAAGGGCCTGTGTCTTTATTGAACTGACTATATGTGAAAATGTGCATCAATGACATGTTTTTGTATCTCCTTTTCATGAATTATTGATTTGTTACCTCCCTGAAACATTATTCATGATTTCTTTTATCAAATTTGTATTGGTGTGTTTAAGGGTAAAAATTGTAGATTTTTTTTACGTTTTTAATACCAGGATATCGCCAAAATGATTAAAACTTGATATTAGTTTTGTCTACCATTTTGGTTTACTTACAAATCAACTTCAAGGTATGTTCTATTACAAGGGAAAATTTGAAATGACTTGAAATCTAGGAAAATAGATTTCAAACAATTTGAACACTAATGATGCAAAGATTTTGGGTTTGAAAAAAGTGTCTCTAGTTAAAAAAAAAAAAAGAAAAAAAAAAGGAACCTCAAAGGGGTAGTATACAATGTGGTTACATAATTATTTTGTGCCAAGATAGTTCCAGATCCTGAAACTAACACCTCCTTTCAAATTAAGTGAGCCTCGCGTACATTACATCTGCCTGATGATGGGGATTTCCAGGTATGGATCTACCTGCATGCTTCTGGCCTCATCCAACAACAATTAGGTTCGTCACAATTCCAGACCAAGTACAATATTTGAGTAGTGTTCCATGTGGACAACAGGAATTACCCTACCACGGAACGTTATTTTCAGTGTCCAGCAGGCAAACGCTTACTGTACTGCCACACTGAAACTGTTCTGGACTTCCCTGGTCATTTCTCTCACCAAACATAGGAAAGACCTATACATTTACAGGCAGAAAGCTTGAATAAACTAGCTGAAGCTGCATGTTGTTGTTGACAGACAAATGAAATGGTTTTAAATTGTGGACTAAAAATGTAACATAACGATTTGATGACTGACTAAGACTTTAAAGTTGAGATTTGAAAAATACTTTCTATTCACATGACTTGTGAGTAAATGCATCATTCCAAAATGATAAATATGGATGTTAAATGAAGTAACAGATGTCTTCAACAAATCTGAAAAAAAAAGTATGTCCCAAAATGAATACACAAAGCGGATCTTTGCAGCACTTAAAGATTTAAAGTGTAGAAAATGAATTACAGGCTTTGTGGACCATTTCACGTCTGGAAAAGGAATGACATATTTTGTATGTTTAAGTGTACTCTAAAATACTGAAAAGTTTTTAAAAGATTGCACTCTGGTGGTTTTTGGAACGCATCCTATGTTGAGATCAATAACAAGTGAATATCTTGAAATGTCATTGTCAAGATTGTTTTTTTTTTAATTTGAAAAAAAATTCCAATTTTCAAGAGCATAAGAAGCTTATTTTATAGAAAAAGACACAACATAACCCCAACACAGAATTGATAACAATGGGATGAGTAAATACAAGAACAAGACAAGCTTTAGTTGGTCCATGATAAATGCCTTAGGTTGATGAAAAATAATGTCATGTTCTCAAAATGACAACTGAGATAGTATCAGTAAAATTTACAGGCAAGTTAAAGAACACATTGGGTGGTCGGGTGGCACAGTGGTAACGCACTCGCCTTTCACCTAGCCGTCCAGGGTTGATTCCTGGGATTGATGTGAAAAGGTTTGGGGTCACCTGCCTGACCATGTCGGTTTTCCCCAGGTACTCCGGTTTCCTCCCACATTAAGACCCCTCATGCACTTCCATCCGAGCCAACAAGAGTGATTTATATAAGTTCGGAAAACTTGCTTCGCAGTTGTTGTAAAATAAAGTTGATTATTATTATAAGAACGCACTGAAAACCTTTATGTTCATCAAAGAAGTAGATACAATATTTCCAATTGTTGTCATTCTGATGAACAGAAATCTTCGCAATAGTTTCCCCTTCAGCAATGAATTAACTTCTGTCATGGAAATCATTATATCTTGAGGAACAAGCTCCTTCAGGTGGGTGACAGAGAACGTATTTAACACTATATACCAGCCACGTCAACTCGCTCCTATAACACAGTGTAAATGAGCTTTGCCATTTTTATAATAGTTTACTTTCAAAATTACTTTAATTTAGCAAGTTATACGATTATCTGGCTAGAATCCCAGCTATTCTGTATGTTTTATCCTGCTATTAGTACACTCCCAAACGAAGATAAACGCTAGAATGACTACGATTAGTAATGGCTGCGCCTTATTTCGAGCTATGCTGTCGGTCTTTCCAAAATCAACATTTGACGTTTCATGAGGTTTGAGCGAGAGAAATAAAAACAAAACCGTAAACTGCGAGCAGGTTGGTTGCAACTTTGGTATCTTTCAGTTCTTGCCAGTTAAACGTATAATATTTCATCATGAACTCCACTTCCCCCCCCCTCGCCCAATTTCGATCCGCTAGTGTTCGGAGGTTATATACAAATTACATCTAGTTAGGTGATATCTGAAAGTCAGTGGTATCTATATAGTAAGCTCATAAGTTATACCTCTTACTTTTGGGGATATTTTAGTTTTTATATTCTTCTGTCACCGTCACCATGGACACGAAGTAAGAAAACTATTGACCCGTTAGCAAGGTGTGTACGCCACATGGTCATGGACATGTATATACTTAGTCTTATGTGATATAATTAGCGTTTAGTATGAGTAAATTGATGTAACCCTGGTAAAATACTAGCTGCAATATACCACTCGGCAAGAGAGAATTTTCTCTTTAGCTAGATTGGTTGAGCATCAGACTATATATATATTATTATTAAGCCGGTAGTCCCATTTTTGAAAGCTTGCGGGGGCATTGGGATAAATAATGACCTCTGTTACATTGGCACCCATGTAGGAACTCGAGAATAATACTAAACATTGTCCCACGTACATGACTGTAGCCACAGGAAACTCAAGGACGAGTTCTTTCCTGAATGTGGAGTGTGTAACCCTGGTAAAATACTAAGCACAACATACAAAATGGCTAGAGAGAACTCCTCTATATCAGTTGAGCATCAGACTAGTAAACCATATGTCCTTGGGTTCTAAACCTAGTTCTATGCTCAACTTTTCAGACTAGAGAGATCTCTCTAACCAGATAGTATATATATTGTTGGTAGTATTCACCAGGGTTACCAGTCCTAGTTATTAACATTCTGACAACTTTTTAATATTGGATTGAAGTTGACTCCAGGCCGATGATAGAACAGTAGAGGAATTAGGACTACAGGGTTACATATTCCTCTTTTAGGAAAGAACTTGTCCTCAAGTTTCCATGGGGTGGAGAGTGATGCTGTAGAGTTATTCAAAACAGCTGATTCGTCTAACAGATGCTAAGCTAAAACATCTCCCACACAAACACATACACACACCCTCACACACTTTCTAACATACACAAACACACCCTCCCACACTCCCAAAGATATAAAAACTAATAAAAATATATGCTATATTCTTCAGTATATTGAAGGCAGGCACTTCAGAAGTAGAGATACAGTGATGTCTGTGGGGTAGTGTTAAGTATTATTTCAGAGTCCCTACATGTACCTATATAGACACAAAACAAAATTTGAGAATTCATACTGTAGAAACTTCGAAAGTTTGTTAGGCCTATTCTGTTTTTGTTTACATGACATTGACACTATGCCTGATGAGGCTTGTCAAAATAATTGCTCCACACCAAATCAAAATAAACTTCCACATGTCAATGGATATTAAAAGCGTATAAAAGGATATTTTATGAATACATGTTTATTTACAACAAGTGAAATAGCTTATTAAAATGGTTATTCATGTATCAAAATGAAGTATGTCAATAAAACAGAAAGTGACTTTGTAGAACTAATGGACAGCTGTTTTTCATTACTGCAAAATACAGAAAAATATATGTCGTAGGTGTATTCCGACAATAGCAGGACTAGTTGCATGATAAACATGAATATTACATGCTGGGCAGGAAAGGAGGATGATATCATGCTTTTACATTCCTAGTTTGGTGTATGTAAGTTGTCATACCTAGACTGTGTTAGTGTCCTCATTCTCTGGTTGTTTGTACATATTTCTTTCTGATGGCGACAAATTGCCATCAATCTTGTGGACTGGTCTTCTGTATTGTGGACTGTATTGTGGACTGGTCTCCTGTATTGTGGACTGGTCTCCTGTATTGTGGATTTGTCTCCTGTATTGTGGACTGGTCTCCTGGACTGGTCTCCTGTATTATGGACTGGTCTCCTGGACTGGTCTCCTGTATTATGGACTGGTCTCCTGGACTGGTCTCCTGTATTATGGACTGGTCTCCTGTATTGTGGACTGGTCTTCTGTATTGTGGACTGTATTGTGGACTGGTCTCCTGTATTGTGGACTGGTCTCCTGTATTGTGGACTTGTCTCCTGTATTGTGGACTTGTCTCCTGTATTGTGGACTGTATTGTGGACTGGTCTCCTGTATTGTGACTAGTCTCCTGTATTGTGACTAGTCTCCTGTATTGTGGACTTGTCTCCTGTATTGTGGACTTGTCTCCTGTATTGTGGACTTGTCTCCTGTATTGTGGACTGGTCTCCTGGACTGGTCTCCTGTATTATGGACTGGTCTCCTGGACTGGTCTCCTGTATTGTGGACTGGTCTTCTGTATTGTGGACTGTATTGTGGACTGGTCTCCTGTATTGTGGACTGGTCTCCTGTATTGTGACTAGTCTCCTGTATTGTGGATTTGTCTCCTGTATTGTGGACTGGTCTCCTGGACTGGTCTCCTGTATTATGGACTGGTCTCCTGGACTGGTCTCCTGTATTGTGGAATGGTCTCTTGTATTGTGGACTGGTCTTCTGTATTGTGAACTGGTCTCCTGTATTGTGGACTGGTCTTCTGTATTGTGGACTAGTCTCTTGTATTGTGGACTAGTCTCTTGTATTGTGGACTAGTCTCTTGTATTGTGAACTGGTCTCCTGGACTGATCTCCTTTATTGTTGACTAGTCTCCTGTATTGTGGACTGGTCTTCTGTATTGTGGACTGGTCTCCTGTATTGTGGACTGGTCTCGTGTATTGTGGACTGGTCTCCTGTATTGTGACTAGTCTCCTGTATTGTGGACTTGTCTCCTGTATTGTGGACTGGTCTCCTGGACTGGTCTCCTGTATTATGGACTGGTCTCCTGGACTGGTCTCCTGTATTGTGGACTGGTCTTCTGTATTGTGGACTGTATTGTGGACTGGTCTCCTGTATTGTGGACTGGTCCCCTGTATTGTGACTAGTCTACTGTATTGTGGACTTGTCTCCTGTATTGTGGATTTGTCTCCTGTATTGTGGACTGGTCTTCTGGACTGGTCTCCTGTATTATGGACTGGTCTCCTGGACTGGTCTCCTGTATTGTGGACTGGTCTCCTGGACAGGTCTCCTGTATTGTGGACTGGTCTCCTGGACTGGTCATCTGTATTGTGGACTGGTCTTCTGTATTGTGGACTATTCTCTTGTATTGTGGACTGGTCTCCTGTATTGTGGACTGGTCTTCTGTATTGTGGACTGGTCTCCTGTATTGTGGACTGGTCTTCTGTATTGTGTTCTTGCACATTTTTGAAAATTTTCACTTGATTATTTCTAACCAGTCTTTAAACAATTTGGATGAGATAGAATGGTTTTAGACTTATTTAGTACTATACTTTACCATGGGAACACTTTCTCATTACTGTTTAGATTTGTGCTGATATTTGATATAACGGTTGTATTTCTGTATTTGTTGCAGTGCTGAGTTTATAGGAATGAAAGACGAATCAGAAACCAAGCCTTTACAAGTTTGATGTGATCACTTATCAAGACTTCTGGTGATCTGTTTGGCTAAAATTTCACATTTGTAGACTCACATCACACTTAACATGAACATGAGTCAGAAGAAGACAGAAATGGACGACCAACAAATCAAATACCTTTGTTTTGTTCGTGATCACGACCATCAATATTTTTCTCGACTTGATGTGGAACAGGACATGGACATGTATAAGTGTGATGTCTGTGATGAAAAGTTTCAGGATTCCTGTCAGCTGGAGATACACACTCGACGACATACAGAAGAAATAAATGTGTCTGATGTTTGCAGGCAGGTGGTAAAATCACAGAGCCAGATCAGGCAAAACACAATGGACATCATAAAGAAATGTTTTTATCGTGGTGACTTAAACCTGACAGTTGCATCACACAAACCCGCTGAAACACATCCAAGAGAGAGAACGTACAAATGTGGTGTTTGTGGTGAGGAATTTAAGGAGGCAAACCACATTCGGGAACATCAGAAAATCCACTGGGATGTAAAACAAGTGAAGTCATACCTGTGTGATAAATGTGGAAAGGTTTTTTTTTCAGCAGGAATACTTAAAATACACATGAGGATACATACAGGAGAGATGCCTTATTGGTGTGATATTTGTGGGAGAAGGTTTAACCAGAAAACTATATTAAACAGACACAGAATGATACACACAGGAGAGATGCCGCATAAATGTGGTTTTTGTGGGAAGAGATTTAGGATAAAAGATGGCTTGCTAAATCATACACGGCTTCATACAGGAGAAAAACCTTATAAGTGTGCTACTTGTGGGAAGGCTTTCCGGGCAAAATACCACCTGAGTATGCACACAGAAGAACATATGAAAGAAAAGACAAGTAAGTGTCACATTTGTGACAAGTTTTTTCGCACGCCGCGATATCTAAAATCACACATGGTGACACATGGAGAGAAACCATTCAAATGTGGGATATGTGATGTGGAATATTTCTATGCTAACAGACTGAAAATACACATGAGAAAACATACTGGGGAGATGCCATATTCATGTGAATTTTGCGGAAAAAAATTCAGTCAAAAATTTTTCTTGAAAAGACACAGAACAATACATACAGGAGAGAAGCCGCACAAATGTGATTTTTGTGACAAAAGCTTTAGACAGAAACCTGTTCTGCAAAATCATGTAAGAATACATACAGGTGAAAAACCATTTAAGTGCATTATATGTGAGAAAGCATTTCGGGAGACGTCTCAGCTGAGAAAGCACTCAGAAGTACATGTGAAGGAAGCTATATACTCCTGTGATGTTTGTGGTAAAAAGTGTCGTGCGATGAAGTACCTAAAATCACACATGATGACACACTCAGGAGAAAAGCCATTTCAGTGCGGAGTGTGCAGGCTTGGATTCATGCATGCTAACAATCTGAAAGTACATGCTAGGAAACATTTGCAGGCAAAGTTCTACAATTGTGATATTTGTGGGAAAGTATTTAGTAAGATGAACAGTCTGAAGAGACATAAGAAAAGACACACACAAGAGAAACCAGTGAAAAAGTTGATCCACAGAGAGCAATTAGGAAATACTGCTGTTGTGGAAGAGGATAACAGAATGCCTGATGCAGGCACACCAAACAAGATTGATGTCAGTGATGATGTTAGCCATTTATCTGGTAGGCTATCAAATTGCGAAACATGTAAAAGAGGCACATCTAAAAAGATTGATGTCCGTGATGTGGATGTTGACCAGGTAATTACGGGCCTTCATGATGAAATCACAGCAAACAAGGTAAATGTGAATCGAAGGACGTCACTGACACTCAACCATACATCTGACCTGCAATCAAATAGCGGATCTCATCAGACTGGAATTTCATATAAATCTTGTGTCGGTGAGATTGGTACAAAGCAATACACGTGTTCTGTACATACTTTCAATAAGGATGTGAAGGTGGTGCAGTATGTACCACAACCCACACAAACGGAGGAAAAATACGAATGTGGAATTTGTGGTCATTTCTCCAACAGTAATGATTATCAGGAACACGTGAAAATACATACTGGGAGTGAACTAAATAAATATCAAGAGTCATGCGATGACAATCTTACACGCAAAGAACCTAATATGTACACGTGTGATATAAATGATCGAGATTTTAGCGCCTCTTCTCAGCAGGTGCTTACAAAACAACGTATGGTGGAAACAGATTTGTCTGATGTTTACAACCAATCACCCACATTACTGAAACATATCAGGCGTGACACAAGGGAAATAACTCACACCTATCACAAAGATTCAAATCAGGCAGGTGATGTACCAATATTGATTCTGTCAAGGGAGAGAACTTACAAGTGTGACGTGTGTGGTGTGGAGTTAAAGGATGTAAGTGACATACAGGAACATCAAAGACTACACTGGGATGAGAAAGCCTTCCTTTGTGATAGATGTGGGAATGGGTGTTGTTCGGAACAAGCCCTTAAACTACATGTAGGATTTCATGCCAATGAGATGTTGTATTCGTGTGATTTTTGTGGTAAAACCTTTAGCCAACAAACTATCTTCAAAACGCATGTTTCGATACATACAGGGGAGAGAGCACATGAGTGTGATTCTTGTAGTAAGAGGTTTAAGCGTGCTTGTGACCTAGTTAAGCATAAAAGAATACACACAGGTGTGAAACCATACACATGTACAAAGTGTGGAAAGACATTTCGCGAGGCGTCCCATGTGAGTGCACACAAAAAAGTACACCTCAGGGAAAAAGCAAATATTTGTAAGGTTTGTGGCAAGACATTTCGCATGGCAAAATCCTTGAAATCACACATGGTGATTCATACAGGGAAAAAGCCATTCAACTGTGGGGTTTGTGGCGTTGGCTTCATGTATATTAAATACCTGAAGTTACACATGAGGAAACATACAGGGGAAAAACCATACAGCTGTGATATTTGTAGTAAGGCATTTAGTCAGAGTCATAATCTGAGGAGGCATGTTAGATTAATACACACACGAGAGAAAACAGTTAAAAAGTTGATTTACGATGAGAAATTAAGAAATTCTGATGTTGTGAAAAAGTTAGAGTCATCTTCTCAAGAGATGTAAGAAAATACATATACAGGAGAGTTCAATCATAAACAAAAAATTTACATATGTAAGGATTTATGTATGAGAGAAATTCTAGATGAGTATGAATATTGATTATAATGCCTCACTTTAACAAATGCAATGATTAAAAAATTGATGATTTTAGAGGTAAAAAAAAAAGATTTAAAAACTTTTCCTGTCATTGTGAGACATCATTTTCAGAAAAGTGGATTTTAATACATGGACACGATTTTGATGTTTAAGAAAAGCAGTGATGCACTTTCTTGATGTTCACAAATCCATGATACCTGATTTTGATGTTTACAAATCCATGATACCTGATTTTGATGTTCACAAAGCCAGGATACCTGATTTTGATGTTTACAAATCCATGATACCTGATTTTGATGTTTACAAATCCATGATACCTGGTTTTGATGTTTACAAATCCATGAAACATGATTTTGATGTTTACAAATCCAGGATACCTGATTTTGATGTTCACAAAGCCATGAAACATAATTTTGATGTTTACAAATCCATGATACCTGATTTTGATGTTTACAAATCCATGAAACATGATTTTGATGTTTACAAATCCATGATACCTGATTTTGATGTTTACAAATCCATGAAACATGATTTTGATGTTTACAAATCCAGGATACCTGATTTTGATGTTTACAAATCCATGAAACATGATTTTGATGTTTACAAATCCATGATACCTGATTTTGATGTTTACAAATCCATGAAACATGATTTTGATGTTTACAAATCCAGGATACCTTATTTTGATGTTTACAAATCCATGAAACATGATTTTGATGTTTACAAATCCAGGATACCTTATTTTGATGTTTACAAATCCATGATTCATGAATTGGATGTTAACGAAGCCATGATACCCAATTTTGATGTTTACAGAGCAAAAGTAGATTTACTGTGAAGGCTGCTATTTTGTGGAGGTTTTCCGTTTTATTGCGTATTTTTTAAGCTATAACAGAATTAAGGTTCAAGAAAATTTGAGCCTGTGTTGTGTATGAACTATATTACAGCTACTTCACTTGACTACATACTCATGTAACTTCATTTCATTGTTTCAATGTATATGGTTCTATTAGCTTTCACATTTAAATACTGTTGTCAATAGACTTACGGCTTCAGCAGAACTTGTTAAAATTTTGATGCATTTTACAGGTGTATAGGATAATACCGTTACAGCAACATGTGTATTATTTAACTTTTACGGCGTTCAGTGATATTTGTCAAATGAATTCTTGAAACATTGTTCAGTGGTTTTGTTTTTCTATATATGTTTAGAGATGTGACCTCACCTTATTATAGTCACCTACTTGGTATATGTGACATCATCTCTCACCTAATTGGTATGACATCATGAGTCACCTTATTGTAGATGTGATGTCATCAGTCACCTCTGTGGTATATGTGATGTCATCAGTCACCTCCGTGGTATATGTGATGTCATCAGACACTTCCGTGGTATATGTGATGTCATCAGTCACCTCCATGGTACATGTGATGTCATCAGTCGCTTCTTTGGTAAACGTGATGTCATCAGTCACTTTCTTCGTATATGTGATATCATCAGTCACCTCCTTGGTATATGTGATGTCATCAGTCACCTCCTTGGTATATGTGATGTCATCAGTCACCTCCTTGGTTTATGTGATGTCATCAGTTCATTTCTTTGGTATATGTGATGTCATCAGTTCATTTCTTTGGTATATGTGATGTCACCAGTCACCTCCTTGGTATATGTGATGTCATCAGTCACTTACTTGGTGTATGTGATGTCATCAGTCACTTCGTTGGTTTATGTGATGTTATTAGTCACCTCCTTGGTATATGTGATGTCATCAGTCACTTCCTTGGTATATGTGATGTCATCTGTCACTTCCTTGGTATATGTGATGTCATCTGTCACCTATGTGGTATATGTGTTGTCATCAGTCACTTCCTTGGTATATGTGATGTCATTAGTCACCTCTGTGGTATATTGGATGTCACCAGTCACTTCTTTAGTATACATGATGTCATCAGTCACCTCCTTGGTATATGTAATGTCATCAGTCACTTCCTTGGTATACATGATGTCATCAATCACCTCCATGGTATGTGTGATGTCATCAGTCACTTCCATGGTATATGTGATGTCATCAGTCTCTTCCTTGGTATATGTGATGTCACCAGTCACCTCCATGGTGTATGTGATGTCATCAGTCATTTCCTTGGTATATGTGATGTCACCAGTCACCTCCTTGGTATATGTGATGTCACCAGTCACCTCCATGGTGTATGTGATGTCATCAGTCACTTCCTTGGTATATGTGATGGCATCAATCACCTCCATGGTATGTGTGATGTCATCAGTCACTTCCATGGTATATGTGATGTCATCAGTCACTTCCATGGTATATGTGATGTCATTAGTCACCTCTGTGGTATATGTGATGTCATTTGTCACCTCCTTGGTATATGTGATGTCATTGGTCACCTCCGTGGTATATGTGATGTCATCAGGCACCTCCTTGGTTTATGCGATGTCATTTGTCACTTCCTTGGTAAATGTGATGTCATCAGTCACCTCCATGGTATATATGATGTCATCAGTCACTTTCTTGGTATATGTGATGTCATCAATCACCTCCATGGTATGTGTGATTTCATCAGTCACCAAAATACAAATATTGACACAAAACATCTTCCTTTTATTTCAGTAAAATAAATCTGTAGACTGATGATTTAATCCATATATACATGTATATATCTAACAGAAATAAAAGTTGTACACTTGCACTAAAATTTGGCACCTGACAAATCAAAATCTATATAATATTTGTTTAAAAAAACTGCTGATTTTGCTATATTTGGTCAAACAATAGATACATAGCTATTCAAAGTTGACTGGACAGCATGGTTTTGTTATTGAAAAGATACATGAATGGACTTTCAATGCAAATCACACTTGGTAAATCATTTGTATATATGAATATAATTAATATTACTTCTGAATAATGGAAATGTTATATCGCTCATGTTGTCTGACAAAGGGGATCAAGATTTAAGATTGAAAAACAAATAAATACAAAACTAAATGAAATGTATATCGTACATTTAGACTTAAACCATTTGGTTTCAGAAACAACATTTCATTGTAAATGGTCATTGTTTTACAAACTATTTTTTGAATCACCTGATCTAAAGGGCCAAGGTGAGCTTATGCCGTACTGTAGAATCTGTTGAGGAAATGGATATAAAATTTGGTTTAGATGAAGCAATATTAGCCACCCAAGGTGAGCAATACAGGCCCTATGGGTCTCTTGATGTTATTTGCCAAAATAATGAAATTAAGACCAAAGCTATTTTTTGGAGACCATTAATAATACTTTAACTACATCGTACACACTCTGGATTTTTTCTAATACTACCATCATTGTCAAAGGCTTTCAATCACATCCTATTCTTTACATTCATAATTTCAAATACAGTCAAAATGATAATGAACAAAGTTTTTTTATATTTAATATTGACGTTTCTATATATATCAAGCTACTTGGGTGATTGAATAATATGCTGTCTCAATATAGATGATGACATGGCTTGTCTTCAACTGAAGAGGTACTCATGTCATGAATATTTCAATGTGTATTGGTCGTACAATGGAACAGATACTTGTCAAAGTGCTGACCACGCCCGATGGTGCAGGAATTTTGGACCCAGGACATCACTAATCAACATGGTCACAAAAGTCTATCTTGGATTATACAGTTGGGATGCCCATATCCATAAATCAATACAGTATGACAGTATATGACTGTGAGATGTCAACATGAGGTAACAAGTCTTTGTTGTATTCATATTCAATAAGTTCAGGAGGGGGGGGGACATCATGATTCTACAGACTGTTCTTTGCGATGATTCATTCCAGGATTTTACCAGAGGATTGAAATGAAAAAAAAAATGAATTTTCACAAAAGGTTTGAAACAAAATTAAGGTCTTACTAAAAAGCTTGAAAAAAAATGAATTAAACTTTTAATGAAGTAAACAAATGGATTACTGTTGAATTTATTAATTCTCTTTTTCACTTGCATTTATCTATTTTTTTGCAACATTATTCAAACCTTGAAAAGAGCATAAATTAGAACCCCTCCAAAGTTCTAGCTTATTGCGTTTCCAGAGGTATTCGAACACTGTTTATCACCAGTGGAGTTTCTCTTGTGAGTCCTCAGACCTGACGGGTCACTAAACGCCTTGCCACAGACATCACACTTATATGGTTTCTCTCCTGTATGTATTCGGATGTGTGTTCGTAGGTTTGTAGGCTGGCTAAATCCTTTACCACAGATATGACATTTACAGGGCTTTTCTCCAGTGTGTGTCCTTGTGTGTATCTGTAGACGTGATGACTCACTAAATGCCTTTCCACAGACATCACACTTATATGGTTTCTCTCCTGTGTGAATTTTCATATGTGTCCGTAGATTTGCTGCCTGACTAAAACTCTTACCACATATATCGCAAGTGTGTGGTTTTTCTCCAGTATGTGTCATGAGATGCTCTCGTACATGGGAAGCTACATTGAAACCTTTCCCACAAACTCCACACTTGAACGGTTTTTCACCAAGATGTTTTCTGATATGGACCTGTAAACCATATGCTTTGATAAATCGCTTACCACAGACATCACAAGAGTGACGCCTCTCCCCTGTATGAATCATGATGTGTTCCCGTACCTGACACGATTCCTTAAACTCTTTTCCACAGACGTCACACTTGAATGGTTTCTCTCCTGTATGCGTCTTGTGATGTCTTCGAAGTTTAGATTTGAATTTGAACCCCTTACCGCACACATCACATTTATATAACTTCTCTTCTCTATGTGTTTCATAATGACTCTGTAGCCGAGATAGGAACCTGAATTCTTTAAAACAAACATCACATTTATGTGACTTCTTAAACTCTCCTCCAGAAGACTTCTCCTCTGTCTGTGTCCCGATCAGGTAATTTTGTAACTGAGGTGGGGAGTTAAGCTTCCCAGAAGAGATGTCCGACATGTCTGGTTTCTCAACTGCTTGTCAAGGCCAGGCGAAATGTTAGCTTTGAATTTGTCGTCCAGTGCATCTCAAAATTTCTCGTTCCTGTGTTTGATTATAGCTTGACATCACTTGAAAACCCCTGAATTAACAAGATACCAACAAAATAAGAATCTGATCTTAACAAGTAAACAAAACAAATTATTATTTACAATATCACTGTATGGTAATGCAATTTAAAAAATGTTTGCAATAAACACCTTTATTTTCTGATGTTATTTATTTATCATTATTTTTGTTATGCAATTAACACGAAAGGAAGAATTAAATTTCCATTTTTGCAGAAAGAGTAAAGCCAACAGTGTGTGCGACAGTGGCTATGTTGGCATTCAGTTTTTACTTCTATGATAAACTTCATATGTGTTGAAATAATTGTTTAACATGTATATCAATTCTTATCAGAAATGACTGATATTTTATCACAAGAGAAGACTCACACTGACTGTAGTCTGCGGTCTTATAATCATTATTGTAAATATAAAATTATTTTAAATAAAAGTAATTCTCCATTTAATCCGTTATTCAATATTTTAAGGTTTACAAGAAATTTAATTTGTTATTGTTGATACTATAGCATAAAATATAGGAAATAGTGATTCAAGTGAACTCAGTTCTGTTTTCTAAATTTACTTGTGTGCACACGTACCTGAATATCAGCATCTAGCCGACAACAGTCTATCAAGACCAAAAACGTTTCTCGTTAATTACAAAAAGAAATCTATGTTGTTATGCAAGAAATTGAACATCTTACGCAATCTCGTTTTATTCGGTCGTTAATTTGCAACGAGACGAAATCAAAATGTAACTTTTTGATCAGGAGAGCCAGAGCGTCATCTGAAGACCTATATTGACAGCCATTATCATAATCTTAGTCGCTCTAGCGTTTGCATATCCGGAAGTAGAACGAGATTACTAAAAACAAGATAAAATAGACGTATTAACTAAAGCTGAATGCATAAATCAAGGAAGTATCTAAAACAGATAATAAATTATTAAATTAAATGTTAAGCATACCATTTAATGATAGAAATATATAATGATTTACAAAGTACAAAGTGCGAAATATATAATGATCTACGGATACAATACAAATTTGACTTATCTGTTGATGTGTCCCGTCTGACATATCATTAAGGTTGTAAGATTCTACTCCTTAACTTTAAATATCATAGTATCAAATCCTTGCTAATCACACATATGCTTTTAGAAGGAATATTTATATCAGTACCACAAAATTTGACACCTCATTTACACTAAATTATCTAAGAGAAGACAGCTCTAATTATGACTAAATGACAGCCAAATTTGAGCAGTGTTGAATATCAAAATCACCAGATGTATCCCGTAAGTTAATGTAGATATAGAAACTGATTCATTTGATTTTGTATTGTATAAATGACACGAAAAGAAAACATCAAACAGCAGTAACGGAAAAAAACACATCAAACAACACTGAAGAGATAATTAAAACTTCAAATGACATTCACAAGAAAAAAATAAATATTAATACTTTTGAGAGAAAACATCAAAGATATCAGAAAAAAAAAAATGGTGATATGAGAAAAATGAGAAAAATATTGTGATATGAGAAAAATACTGTTATTTCTCATATTTCCAAAACTGCAGTACATCTGGCCATGCGGACCATTCACCTTTCCATACATGTGAATGTTTTATACACAGTAACTCCATTAATTTTTATTTTCCAACTTACTTGTCAGTCATTACAATTTGCTAGGTTAAGCTATATTGTTTTCTCGTCAAGCTACATGTCACTTACAGCTTAGTTTCTTTCTTTCCTGTATTTTGCAGGCTGAATGCGATTGTCAAATTTTATCTTGTCTAAATATCCAATCAAACTTCTTCACTGATTGACAGTTTCCAATTTGTGTAGTTCGTACAAGTTTGTTTTAATAAATGTCACCTCCCTACCAAGATCTTGGCCACCAGAAAAAGCAAATGCCAGTTGCTATGGAAAAAGTGTGTGAAGGTGAAGGTCAGTGTGGCATGTGTGTGTGAAGGTCACAGTATCCCATGTCGATAAAGAGTGAGTGTGAAGGTCACAGTGTCATGTGTGTGAAGGTCACAGCATCTCATGTTGGTAAACAGTGAGTGAAGGTCAAAGAGTTCTGCATGCGTGAAGTGTGTGCCTTGTTGGTAAACAGCGGGAATATAAAGGTCGCAGTGTGTTGTGTGTGTGAAGGTCACAGCTGCTATGTAAATAATAGGCGAAGGTCATGATGTGCTGTGTTGGTGAACAAGTTTGGTCTTCATCTGTACTTAAATAGTTGGATCTTTTCCCTTCTTTTCTATTCATTCTTCTGTTGATGCTCTTAATATTATGAAATTCAAAATTCCTCTTCATAAGCAGTGATATTGATCTTTAACTGCCAAATCCAAGATGGTTACTTATCAGTCATTTTATTTTTCTAATCAGGACACATTTAGGGGCCATGGATTATCCATATATAAAATTAGAGAAAAATCTATTCAGTATTTCTCAAGAAATAGGGATAACTAACTTTCATAGTCAAAATTCAAGATGGCCACCTGTCGACCATTTTCTTTGCCTGAACTGAAATTCAAATTTAACAAGAAACCAAGAGGAACTTAGACATCAAGTTTAAAAAAAATCCTTCCATTACTTTTCAGAAAATTTCCGATTAAACAAATCTCAAGTGTCAGAATCCAAGAGAGCTGCCGGATGGTCACGTACATGTGAATGTTTGAGAAGTATGCGATAAATAGTGATAACAAGAATCGTTTAAGGATGGAATGCAGATGCAAGGGGACATAAAAAATCCAACATTTAGTAACGATGAACTAAACTAAAAAAATGTATCAATTAAATTTTTTATGAAGCGAAATAAAACAAAACTGGAATTATTATCACTATGGAATAATCTAATGGTAAAAATCACACTGAGGTCAGCTGATTTTATTTTGTTTATTCTTCAAATCTAGCAATTTCAACAAACAACAATATTACAATCATTCTGTTACAATATTATAGTACAACAACGATGAAAACTTACTGAAGTACATGCACTTAACACCAACATCTAATGGCTGTCGACTGATCACAACAAAATTTATAACAGGTTTATCTGCCAGTGTCTAATTGTTTCAGATAATTAAGGTTCTGTATTACATACTGAATAATAAGGTGGAAAATTTCACCGAGAATGAGGAACATTTTATATTATTTGATCCCGCTCTAAATGATGAAAATATGACAATGCTAAAACCTCACACACACCTACATATTCATGCTAAAACCTCGCACATCTTTACACTCATGCAAAAACCTCACACACACCTTCACATTTGTGCTAAAACCTCACACACCTTCACATTCATGCTAAAACCTCACACACCTTCACATTTGTGCTAAAACCTCACACACACACCTACATATTCGTGCTAAAACCTCACACACCTTTACACTCATGCTAAAACCTCACACCTTCACATTTGTGCTAAAACCTCGCACACCTTCACATTCGTGCTCATACAAACTCACATTCATTGACTTCCATCAAACCAGTAAATACTCTTGCATACCTATATAATGCAAACATATGTCATTACCAATCCATCAACAAACACAGAAAGCAGCAAATTTTACTGAAAAAGACAACACAGAAGAATCTGCTTCTTCGTTTATTTGCTGGATTTATTGCCTTGTGAACAGCCAGGGTCATTTGGAGGTCAGGTCTCCTTGTCATACCTGGGGACTACCTCACTGAACAACATATGGGAGGCCCGTCACATGCTATCTAGAGTAATTAGGTTAAAGTGTCTTGCCTAAGGGAACATCAACATTGTACAGACTTGTCTGCTTCTCAGCTTCCTGAGAAACTCCAACTGCCATGGGATGGAAGAGCCAAACTCAGTACCTTAGATCTTTATGTGAGTTATGCAGGCTAATGCTCTATTACCTGATCTGTTTATCAGCTGGTTTTAATGCCAATGAATAACATATGGAAGGTCCAAACAAAACAGAGAAAGCTATAGTGAAGGTAGAAAGCCATAGATACACATACAAATGTACATAAAACATTGATGAAAAGATTTTTAGATACATGGTATGATCATGTATTATAATGGTTCAAAATACTTTGTAAAGAAGAGGCCAACAGGACCTGTATCACTTGCAAGCAATTCTACAAATGGAAAACAGCATCACAATTTTCTCTCTTTGGGATCTGATTTTGTCTCCAAAGACCCAAAGATGATTGTGGAAAATGTGCTGCAGGGGCTTCCACAGTTATTTTTGATTTTCTCCCTTTTGAGTTCTTGCGATATACTCATCAAGATTGCCTATCTGCAGTTGACAGTTGTGACATGTTGGAATACATGCATGTAGTTTTCAGCAATCATGGTGTACATGCTTGGAGTTATTGGAACCTGTCTAAGTAGCAGAAACATCTAGGTTAATTTTTGGCTGTTATTTGTGGTAAGATGACAGATTTTCAGGAGTGTTAATAGTAGCATGTGGTTTTTGTATGGCCTACCAACAGAACTGTAATTCTCATTTTGTGAACTTAATTAACAATACTGTTGTGTTGATTTGAACAAATATCAATATCATGTGTTGTTAAATCATGAAAGTGTGACAATATGTTAAAGATTTATTGATTTTTCCGAGATTGAAAGAATTGCCAATTCATCAAAATTTTCCGGATATGGAAATTCGTAGTTGCCATATTACTGTCTATGCTAAAACCAATACTTATCCCACACTGGACTTTTCTGTGTGTATTTTTACATTTATTGGTTTCTTTTTATCATAGACTTTTACCACAAACTGTCTGTAAACATTCTATGATCACAAATAAAGTATCTTACTGTGGGTTTACTGTCTGAACATTATCCACTGGTCAACACAGTATGTCTGAATGGCATTAAGTTCATGTGTACTGAAATCACAGTTGACACAGGTCATGTGTACTGAAATCACAGAGTTGATACAGGTCATGTGTACTGAAATCACAGGGTTGATACAGGTCATGTGTACTGAAATCACAGGGTTGATACAGGTCATGTGTACTGAAATCACAGGGTTGATACATGTCATGTGTACTGAAATCACAGGGTTGATACATGTCATGTGTACTGAAATCACAGGGTTGATACAGGTCATGTGTACTGAAATCACAGGGTTGATACAGGTCATGTGTACTGAAATCACAGGGTTGATACATGTCATGTGTACTGAAATCACAGAGTTGATACATGTCATGTGTACTGAAATCACAGGGTTGATACAGGTCATGTGTACTGAAATCACAGGGTTGATACATGTCATGTGTACTGAAATCACATGGTTGATACAGGTCATGTGTACTGAAATCACAGAGTTGACACAGGTCATGTGTACTGAAATCACAGGGTTGATACAGGTCATGTTTTCCTGTTAATACCGGTACTTATAAAATCCTCAGTGACAATATTAATATTATTAATAATACTTAGCCAGATTACAGATCAAGTAATAGGGCCAGAAATTTCCTGTTTTTATTCTGGAAAAGGACTGATAGTAAACAACATGATACTATATAGATCACCAACCCACAACCATATCGTACTATGACACTGAGCAAATCAACAATATAAAATTCAAATAGAATATGACTTTTACATCAACACAAATTTGGTCTCACTTTCTCTCATTCGTCATCTCAAAACAAAACAACAAACTTCAGTGTTAAGTCCCACACATCAAACAACCAAATGATTTGGTAAAAGACATTAATATAATGATACAGACATCATCTGTCAATTCCAATCAAACTTGATACCTGTACTTACAATTCATTAATATCTATACTTCAAATCATTAATTGTTTAATATTATAACATATCCTACAAATTAATTAAATTTTTTTTATTAAAATGACATTAATATTAGACTTGATTATTAAAACAATTACAATACCTACATATATATATATGTATATAAAGAGAAAGGAGATATTGCACCATTAGATACATACATTATACATATGTACATATTGAACGATTAAAGGGTCGTTGAGTGGAGCAGTGTTAACTCACTCACCCTTCACCGAGATGTCAGAAGTTCGCACCCCCAAGGGATTGTGGAAAGGTACAGGGGCTATCTGCCTGATCACAAGTGTTTCCTCTACGCTTCAGATTCCTTCTAAAGTAAGACCCCTTGTAGGCTTCCATCTGGGATGAACTGAAAGCTTTTCCACAATTTTTGTAAAATAAATAAAGTTTAATTTAAATTATGATTATTATTTTCATGTATGTCATATTGTCTAGTTTGTTGCAATGATGCTCCAATTTATATATAAAAAAAAATTTGCTTTCCTGTCCTAATTAAAACTACTTTTTATATACATAGCATTGACCATTAAATATCACTAAAAATTATATTAAAAATTCTAATTGCAATGAATACAAGCGTTTTTAAGCTTTTCCAATAAAATTATCATTAGTTTTTTATAACTTCATTAATTGTATAGAAACAGTAACAAATTTTGTAGAATATTGATATAAAATTGTACTGGCAGATCAAAGCTGATCAACATCATACACAGCATATTTGTGAATTCTATTGAATGAATTCCTATTTTAAAAGGAAACTTAGTATATCTTGTTTTATTTCTTCTGAATGAAGAACGATGACATGAAGATGACAACAATGATGACAAAGACAATGATGGACAAAGACAATGATGACGACGGTGACAATGATGGACAAAGACAATGATGACGACGGTGACAATGCTTTTTTGTCTGTTTATATGGATGATCTTGTTGGATGGATGAGGATGACGACTGTAGCGATGATGTACATATCTTTCATTTTCTGCTCATCTGCATTTATTTCTTCCTCCACGATACACGTATCTTAATCTTGTGAATTTCGCTGTTGATGCAACTTAAATTTAATTTTCATATCTGCTTTATGATGCCCTCCTTTACAAGGTCTAAGTTGAGTGGATTTTCGTCTCATGTTTTCAGGTTGGCAACATGACTTCTAAAGTCTAAATTACTGTGAAATCTTTAATTTCCGTGGGGATTTATTTTCGCTGATTTTGTGAGCACTCTTAATTAATGAATTCATGTATCCAGGATCTATTAAAATATATATAAGTAGATTTGTTGAGCTATCTTGAAATGAAGTGTCCACAAAACTGAGTGTTTTCAGGTTGGCTGCAAGATTTCCTCCTTAACAATGTCTAGATTAAGAGGATTTTCATTTGTGCTGATGTTTGCTTTCAAGTTAGCTGCATGAATTTCTCCTTCAGTGTGTGTGTTGATATTTGTTTGAAGAAACCGTGCTTGGTTAAAACTGAACTCACTAGTGTCACTCTCACGAGCTTTCTCCACAGCGTGTCTCATTTTATGAGACTTTAGACTGGTATCATGACGAAACCGTTTACCACAGATATCACACTTGAATGGTTTCTCGCCTGTATGTGTCATTTTGTGTGACTTTAGGCCAGTGTCACGACTAAAACTTTTACCACAGACGTCACACTTGAACGGTTTCTCCCCAGTGTGTGTTTTAATATGTTTTTGCACATTTGAAGCTTGATTGAATCCCTTTCCACAGACATCACATTTGTATGGCTTTTCTCCTGTATGTATTCTAGCGTGTCTATTTAGATAAGACGCAACATGGAACCCTTTACCACAGACGTCACACTTGAATGGTTTCTCCCCTGTATGTGTTCTGGTGTGTGATTTCAGGTGACACGACCTGTTAAATCCCTTACCACAAATATCACACTTGAAAAGTCTCTCCCCTGAATGTATCCGAACGTGAATACTGAGGTTTGAGCTGGCGTTGAAACCTTTCCCACAGACATCACATTTATACGGTCGTTCTCCCGTATGTATGCGTATATGCCGCTGCAAACTAGCTATCCAATTAAACTCCTTTAAACATATACCACACTGGTATGGTTGTCCATCTCCGTGTGTCATAACGTGCCTTTGCCTGCTAATAATATCCCTAAACCGCTTACTGCATAAATCACATTTATATGGTCTCTCTCCTGTATGTGTTCGGAGGTGTGTTTGTCGGCTTGACATTTCACTAAATCCTTTACCGCAGACATCACACTTGTATGGTTTCTCGCCTGTGTGTGTTCTGGTATGTGTCTGCAGGTTTCCCGCCTTACTGAAACTTTTACCACAAACTTCACACTTAAATGGCTTCTCTCCTGTATGTGTCCTTCCATGGGTTTTAAGGTTAGCAGCCTGACTAAACCCTTTACCACAGACATCACATTTAAATGGCTTCTCTCCCGTGTGAACCCTGATATGAGTCAACATGCGATCTTTCCGAATAAAACTTTTATCGCAGATGTCGCACTTAAATGGTTTTTCACCTGTATGTGTTCTGGTATGAATTTGCATATTAGATGCCTGACTGAATCCTTTACCACAGAAATCACATTTGTATGGTTTCTCACCAGTATGGACTTTGATATGTGTTTTCAGGGCAACTGCATGACTGAATTCCTTACTACATAACTCACATTTGAAAGGTTTTTCTCCTGTGTGTATCCTATGGTGTGTTTGTAGGTTATTTGCCAGACTAAATCCTCTACCACAAATTTCACACTTGAATGGTTTCTCCTCTACATGCATTGTGGGATGCATTGCTTTGTGTGCTATGTTTCTGATCACCTTATCACAGACATTACTCTTGTACAAGTTTGGTTCCTTGCGTGTTTGTGTCTTGGAGCATACCTCTGGCTGAGGCAAGTCACTAAAATCCATATCACATTTCAACATGTCTTGTACCTCGCCTGCATGTGTCTTGGAATGTACCTCTGGCTGAGGCAAGTCATTAAAATCTTTCTCACGTTTCAACATGTTGTGTTCCTGACCTGCATGTGTCTTGGAAAGTATCTCTATCTGAGATGCGTCACTAAAATCATTTTCACATTTTGACATGTTTGGTTCCTGTATGTGTCCTGGTGTAATTCTAGGCAAGATGAATATTGTTGGAAGAGGTTTCAGTGGGAACACATCATTTCACACAAATCCATGTATCACAAACGCTTTCTAGTTCAATGCATCTCTTTTCTGGGGATTCATTTTCCTGAAGTTTCATGATGGCTTTGAAAACTGCAGGAATCATCTGAAACATATGAAATGGTTTAAATATAGATGTCCAACGAAATCAAAACAATTAATATTTCATTTGATTTACTAAAAAAATGCTCAAAAGATTTTTTAAGATTTAAAAGTATAATACAGAAACTCAGGATGTCAACTTAACACATGATTGGTGTATTAAGACATAAGCAGTATTTTGGAGAGGGTGAAGAAAGACAAAAGTGGCTCGTCTTTGGCATCCTGTCCTGAGCTAAAGGCAACTTATATTTAAAGACTCTGACCATGTATACTACTTATTCTGCAACTTTACAAGTCAACAAAAACTCATAAAATCGTTGTAATATCCATTGATGACTTGAACTGTAATTTAGGCGTATGTCATCAGGCAAAATTCAGCACAACATCAATGTCAGGTAAACAAAGACTGAACAACAGAGTGTTGACATTGTTTACTATCAAAATGTCAACAGTTTGTTGTTCAGTCTTTTCGTAAATATTATTTTTGAAAATAGACTTGTATATGACAACAAATTGCTATTTTACAGTTATTCATACTTTTAAATGTAAAATTTAAGCAATTTTGATAAATTCATGTTTTCAGATACAACTTTTCCAATCACTGCAGAACACAGTGAAAGTATGTGGCAAGTGTATTTCTACAATGGTGGAAAAGTTGTAGGATTAGTATCTGGGTGGACAATAAGTCGAGTCAGGGTCAACACATTTCTTTTCTCTCAGTGATGGAGTGGGTGGACAATAAGCTGAGTCAGGGTCAACACAGTGATCAGTTTATCAAAGTGAAATAAACACAGTCTGGGGCAACACATTCTCTCATACTCAAAATTAAAGGGACAGGACAAAAAGTCGCACCTGATTTAACAAATTTCTTCCGATTCAAAATCAAGATGGCAATGAAATGACATAGGTTAACAATTTTACTAAAAGCAGCAATATAAGCGGGTGGGCTTATTACCAGACATCAGTTACTGGTGGACAAATCTTCTGCATCTGTCTTTATAAGCATAAATTGGCTTGGCACGAGAAGGGTAGAGATCCAGAAAAGAGATTTGTAAGAAAACCTTACCCAACGGTACAATATCTATTGAAAGGTTCAGTAAACTTATCATTGTCCAATTGCGGCCTTTGGACGTTTATTGTATTAAAAGAATGATATGTTAATGTTTATTGTCTAAACTGTTATTACAATTTAAAGGTGAAAATATTGTACGACGTTTAATTGGAAGATTTGAGAAAATCTCAAATTCCAAATTCTATGAACGGAACACACCTAACCAATCGGCAATCTTAAATATTCTGTACAAGGAAACAAAGGGAACAACATCTCTATATACAAATTCAAATTGAGATGTTTGAGTGTGTGGATGTTTTGTTTGTAGATATTTCACTGTGTGGATGTTTTTGTTTGTAGATAATTCACTGTGTGGATAATTCACTGTGTGGATGTTTTGTTTGTAGATAATTCACTGTGTGGATGTTTTGTTTGTAGATAATACACTGTGTGGATGTTTGTTTGTAGATAATTCACTGTGTGGATGTTTTGTTTGTAGATAATTCACTGTGTGGATGTTTTGTTTGTAGATAATTCACTGTGTGGATGTTTTGTTTGTAGATAATTCACTGTGTGGATGTTTCACTGTGTGGATGTTTTGTTTGTAGATAATTCACTGTGTGGATGTTTCACTGTGTGGATGTTTTGTTTGTAGATAATTCACTGTGTGGATGTTTTGTTTGTAGATAATTCACTGTGTGGATGTTTTGTTTGTAGATATTTCACTGTGTGGATGTTTTGTTTGTAGATATTTCACTGTGTGGATGTTTTGTTTGTAGATAATTCACTGTGTGGATGTTTTGTTTGTAGATAATACACTGTGTGGATGTTTGTTTGTAGATAATTCACTGTGTGGATGTTTTGTTTGTAGATAATTCACTGTGTGGATGTTTTTGTTTGTAGATAATTCACTGTGTGGATAATTCATTGTGTGGATGTTTTGTTTGTAGATAATTAACTGTGTGGATGTTTCACTGTGTGGATGTTTTGTTTGTAGATAATTCACTGTGTGAATGTTTTGTTTGTAGATAATTCACTGTGTGGATGTTTTGTTTGTAGATAATTCACTGTGTGGATGTTTTGTTTGTAGATAATTCACTGTGTGGATGTTTGTTTTGTTTGTATAATTTAACACTGTGTGGATGTTTTGTTTGTAGATTCACTGTGTGGATGTTTTGTTTGTAGATAATTCACTGTGTGGATGTTTGTGTGGATGTTTTGTTTGTAGATAATTCACTGTGTGGATGTTTTGTTTGTAGATAATTCACTGTGTGGATGTTTTGTTTGTAGATAATTCACTGTGTGAATGTTTTGTTTGTAGATAATTCACTGTGTGGATGTTTTGTTTGTAGACAATTCACTGTGTGGATGTTTCACGGTGTGGATGTTTTGTTTGTAGATAATTCACTGTGTGAATGTTTTGTTTGTAGATAATTCACTGTGTGAATGTTTTGTTTGTAGATAATTCACTGTGTGAATGTTTTGTTTGTAGATAATTCACTGTGTGGATGTTTCACTGTGTGGATGTTTTGTTTGTAGATATTTCACTGTGTGGATGTTTCAATGTGTAGATGTAGATTTTCTTCTTTACCTTTCAAATTTTTAGGCGTGATAGAACTGACAAATTTTGTTTATTGAGTGTAAACTAGACAATTTTTTTTTCTAAAATGACAAATTTCTTTAATTAGAGTAAACAACAGACACATTTTGTTTATTGAGTGTAAACAACAGACACATTTTGTTTATTGAGTGTTGACATCTGATAATTTTTTTTTATTTCAAAGCAAAATAGTGATGTTATATCTACTAATGTATTGAAATGGTTTACAAAATTTCAGTAGAATAGTTCAACTGCTTAAATACACATGATTATGGTGAAAACAAGCTACTGAAGAAGGAATTAAGAGTTCAATGTACATATGTATATTTTTTATTGCTATGTACTCAGAAAATTGTTGATTTCTACACAGGCTTACATATATGCGCGCGCGCACACACACACACACACACACACACACACACACATACACACATAGATACACCAGATGTTGATGCCCTTTCCTCTTTTTTAACTTATTTTCTACATACACAATATTAAGAAGTATATATCAAATCATATATTATTGTTGCTTTACATCCTAACAGTCAGTGTGGTGAAGAAAAACTGGAGTTCCTGAAGAGAAGACCACCAACCAGCGACTAGTACCTGGCGTGCCTCGAACCTGCAAGGCAAATGATGGTGGTGAGATGCCTTAACCCAGCCATCATGGACCCTCAACCCCTTATAGACTATATGTGAGCTGTCACTGGGCTCACTGTACCACAGACAACATCCACTCGACCTTCGTGGACCCCCAGTCTCTGAGAGACTACATGTGAGCTAGCACTGGGCTCACTGTACCACAGACAACATCCATTCGACCTTCGTGGACCCCCAGTCTCTGAGAGACTACATGTGAGCTAGCACTGGGCTCACTGTACCACAGACAACATCCACTCGACCTTCGTGGACCCCCAGTCTCTGAGAGACTACATGTGAGCTAGCACTGGGCTCACTGTACCACAGACAACATCCACTCGACCTTCGTGGACCCCCAGTCTCTGAGAGACTACATGTGAGCTAGCACTGGGCTCACTGTACCACAGACAACATCCACTCGACCTTCGTGGACCCCCAGTCTCTGAGAGACTACATGTGAGCTAGCACTGGGCTCACTGTACCACAGACAACATCCACTCGACCTTCGTGGACCCCCAGTCTCTGAGAGACTATATGTGAGCTGTCACTGGGCTCACTGTACCACAGACAACATCCACTCTCTTAGATATATATCAAGATTCTTAAATATTTCTGTGATGCCTTCACGAGTCAGCAACATTAAAGAATTCCTTGTGTATTGTAAGTCCAGCAATGAGTTCACTTATTCATGTCTGTAATTATAAAAAGAACCTATATTCTTATGAATTTTTGTTTTAAAGGATGATTGTCAAATCTTTGCTGGAAACAATACCAATATGAAAGTAGTTCTTACTACGCAGTTCATATCAGTAATAGAACCAGATTTACATGTGATGTATATTACTTCACGGAATGAGTTTCTTGAACGTGTCAACATCAATATCCCATGAACCAATGAAAATGACATCTCCACGAAAACAACCATCTCTATATAGAACCAATTTGTAATTTTTTGGCAACTCCAGGCAGATGTATCTTAAGTTATGCACTGACTTATTTTACTTAACTGAACATATTGCATCATCACCATTGTTCCATTTCTGACATGTGTCTTCTAAAATGTGTTTGTTTGTATTCAAATATCACCATTGTTCCATTTCTGATGTGTGTCTTCTTAAATGTGTTTGTTTGTATTCAAATATCACCACTGTTCCATTTCTGATGTGTGTCTTCTTAAATGTGTTTGTTTGTATTCAAATATCGCCACTTTTCCATTTCTGATGTGTGTCTTCTTAAATGTGTTCGTTTGTATTCAAATATCGCCACTTTTCCATTTCTGATGTGTGTCTTCTTAAATGTGTTCGTTTGTATTCAAATATCACCACTGGTCCATTTCTGATATGTGTCTTCTTAAATGTGTTCGTTTGTATTCAAATATTGCCACTGTTCCATTTCTGATGTGTGTCTTCTTAAATGTGTTTGTTTGTATTCAAATATCACCACTGCTCTATTTCTGCACTTTTTTAAAAGTATATAAGTGGCACAACTTAACTACTGCACATACAACTTAACTACTGCACATACAACTTAACTACTGTACATACAACTTAACTACTGTACATACAACTTAACTACTGCACATACAACACTGCACATACAACTTAACTACTGCACATACAACTTAACTACTGTACATACAACTTAACTACTGCACATACAACACTGCACATACAACTTAACTACTGCACATACAACTTAACTACTGCACATACAACACTGCACATACAACTTAACTACTGTACATACAACTAAACTACTGTACATACAACTTAACTACTGCACATACAACACTGCACATACAACTTAACTACTGCACATACAACTTAACTACTGCACATACAACACTGCACATACAACTTAACTACTGCACATACAACTTAACTACTGCACATACAACACTGCACATACAACTAAACTAATGTACATACAACTTAACTACTGTACATACAACACTGCACATACAACTTAACTACTGTACACATCACAACGGTTCCGTTTCGGAGTGTTTTTTTATATGTGTTCGTAGGCTAACACCCTGAATAAATCCTTTACCACAGACATCACATTTGTGTGGTTTTTCCCCTGTATGCCTTTTTATGTGTCGCCTTAGACTTGCTGCCTCAGTCAACCCCTTACCACAGATCTCACATTTGTATGGCTTCTCTTGGTCAGGGTTGTGTTTTCTTTTATGAGTCCGTAAATTACATGAGAACGTAAATTCCTTATCACAGACGTCACATTTGAATGGCTTTTGCCCGGTATGTATTCGGGTGTGAGATCGATAGTTTGACTGATCGTTAAATGCTTTACCACAAACATCACACTTGTAAGGTTTTTCTCCTGTATGTACTCTTACATGCGCACGTAGCTCACCCGACTCTAAAAATCCCTTACCACAAAAATCACACTTAAACCGCTTTTCACCGGTATGGGTCATAAGGTGGTTTCGTACTCGATAAGCTTTTTTGAATTCCTTACCACAGATATCACATTTGTAAGGTTTCTCTCCTGTACATTTAGATTTATGTAAAATTAGATAATTTTCTTTGACAAATTTTTGACCACATATATCACATCTGTACTGAGTTTCACCTGTATGTGTCATCATGTGTTTTTGTAACACATATTCCTCTCTAAAATCTTTCCCACACACAGAACACTTAAATGGTTTCTCTCCAGTATGTATCTTGAGATGTTTTTGTAAGGAATTTCCTTGACCAAATCCTTTACCACAAACCTCACACTTAAATGGCTTCTCCCCAGTATGTGTTCTGAGGTGTCTATGAAGATTTGATGCATGGTTAAAAGTTTTAGCACAGAAACCACACTTAAATGGCCGCTCTCCTGTATGAGTCCTCGCGTGTGCATGCATGTGAGCAGCCTGAATGAATGTCTTTCCACAGACGTCACACTTGAATGGCTTCTCGCCTGTATGTGTTCTCATGTGGATTTTCACTAGAGATGCCTGAACAAATTCCTTATTACATATGTCACACTTGAACGGTTTTTCTCCAGTATGTGATCTTATGTGCACCTGCAAGTTTGAAGCTCCACTACACACCTTCATACAAATATCACACTTATATTGCTTTTGTCTTTTTTGGATGTTGGAGTAATCTTTCATGTTATCTGTTGCCTCAAAATCTTCTGTAGACAGATAAGACATGTCTTTTTTCTTCTCTCTATGTGTCTTGTATACCTCTGGCTGAGACAGGTCATCAAAATCTTCAGTAGACAGATAAGGCATGTCTTTTTTCTTCTCTCTGTGTGTCTTGTATACCTCTGGCTGAGACAGGTCATCAAAATATTCAGTAGACAGATAAGGCATGTCTTTTTTCTTCTCTCTATGTGTCTTGTATACCTCTGACTGAGACAGGTCATCAAAATATGGAACACATTTGGAATTGTCTAGCTCTGTGTCTGAATTTGTCTTGGTTTGTTCCCCTAGCTGAGATGAGTGACTATAGTCTTTATCACATTTCTCAATGCTTTGTTCCTCAGCTGCCTGTAGCAGAGAAGAGTCACTATAGTCTTTATCACATTTCTCCATGGTTTGTTTTTCACCTGCCTTTAGTTGGAAAGAGTCACTAAAGCCTTCATCACATTTCTTTAAATGCTTTGTTTCTAATCTGGCTCTTGCTCAGAAGAAGCAATATAGTCTTTATCACATTTCTTTAAATGCTTTATTTCTAATCTGGCTCTTGCTCAGAAGAAGCAATATAGTCTTTTTCACATTTCTCCATGGTTTGTTTCTCACCTGCCTTTAGTTGGAAAGAGTCACTAAAGCCTTTATCACATTTCTTTAAATGCTTTGTTTCTAATCTGGCTCTTGCTCAGAAGAAGCAATATAGTCTTTATCACATTTCTTTAAATGCTTTGTTTCTAATCTGGCTCTTGCTCAGAAGAAGCAATATAGTCTTTATCACATTTCTTTAAATGCTTTGTTTCTAATCTGGCTCTTGCTCAGAAGAAGCAATATAGTCTTTATCACATTTCTTTAAATGCTTTGTTTCTAATCTGGCTCTTGCTCAGAAGAAGCAATATAGTCTTTTTCACATTTCTCCATGGTTTGTTTCTCATCAAATATATTTCTCAATGTTTAGTTACTGGTCTTGTTGGTGACTGGATAATCTAATTTGCCATTGGAATGAGTCAATCACTTATACTAAATTTTAAACCTCCCCCTTAGATTTATGTGATATATGGATATCTCAAGTCCAACAGTATAACTAACAGGTATTTCATGACATAACCCTTTGTTATTCTTTTAAAATGCAAAACTTTCCTTTTCCACTTAAATCCCAGTTACTTCAATGTCAAAAGCTCCATGTTCTTAAATCTCAACGTTGCTCGGAAAGCATCAGATCGGAAAACATCGGATGTTATCTGAAACACCATGAAATACCGAATTACTGAAGAACTTGAGAGATGAGAGTATTTATAGGAAATAAGGGGCCTAGTAGACCTGCTCACCCAGACTATTACTCAGTGTAATGAAATGTGCAAAGGGCTTGTGGGACTTAAAAAAGACATAGGTTACCCAATATTAAGAAGTAACTTTCTGTCAATATACTTAAATTTAAGATATTGTATGTTTGGCATTCACCTTAAGACCAAAAACAAAACCTACCTCCAAATTAAATAATGGTATGATGAATGATTGAATCAGATTTTTTAATAATTGTGAACATTGTCTCCAGCATCTTCATGTCTTTACTCACTGGATCTTACATATCCATATCTTCTGTTCTGATGTTATAAACACTTGTTACTTACCACCAGGAAAACTTACGAATGACTCTGATTTGTGAGCTGGGCAAAAAAGAATGGAAATTTCACAATTCCCCTAAAATATCTCCAGACCTAAGTTATCTAAAGATGAGTTGGTCAATGTAAAATGCTAGCAGTTGAGGGTTGACATTCATAACTAAATGTCAAGAAACAAAATGCCATTCAAAGCAAATCTATTCACATAGCTAAGAGATGTCTAGTGTTGGAACAGACTGCTTATTTACTGGGAGATGTATTGGTGTTGGGACGGATTTCCTGTTTACAGGGCGACATCAGGGTGTAGGGACAGATTTCCTGTTACCAGGGCGACATCAGGGTGTAGGGACAGATTTCCTGTTACCAGGGCGACATCAGGGTGTAGGGACAGATTTCCTGTTTACAGGAAGATGTCTGGGTGTAGGGACAGATTTCCTGTTTACAGGGCGACATCAGGGTGTAGGGACAGATTTCCTGTTACCAGGGCGACATCAGGGTGTAGGGACAGATTTCCTGTTTACAGGGCGACATCAGGGTGTAGGGACAGATTTCCTGTTTACAGGATGACGTCTGGGTGTAGGGACAGATTTCCTGTTTACAGGGCGACATCAGGGTGTAGGGACAGATTTCCTGTTTACAGGATGACGTCTGGGTGTAGGGACAGATTTCCTGTTTACAGGGCGACATCAGGGTGTAGGGACAGATTTCCTGTTTACAGGGCGACATCAGGGTGTAGGGACAGATTTCCTGTTTACAGGGTGACATCAGGGTGTAGGGACAGATTTCCTGTTACCAGGGTGACATCAGGGTGTAGGGACAGATTTCCTGTTTACAGGATGACGTCTGGGTGTAGGGACAGATTTCCTGTTTACAGGGCGACATCTGGGTGTAGGGACAGATTTCTTGTTTACAGGAAGATGTCTGGGTGTAGGGACAGATTTCCTGTTTACAGGGCGACATCTGGGTGTAGGGACAGATTTCCTGTTACCAGGGTGACATCTGGGTGTAGGGACAGATTGTAGGGACAGATTTCCTGTTTACAGGGTGACGTCAGGGTGTAGGGACATATTTCCTGTTTACAGGGCGACATCAGGGTGTAGGGACAGATTTCCTGTTTACAGAGTGACATCTGGGTGTAGGGACAGATTTCCTGTTTACAGAGTGACATCTGGGTGTAGGGACAGATTTCCTGTTTACAGGGTGACATCTGGGTGTAGGGACAGATTTCCTGTTTACAGGGTGACATCTGGGTGTAGGGACAGATTTCCTGTTTACAGGGCGACATCAGGGTGTAGGGACAGATTTCCTGTTTACAGGGTGACATCTGGGTGTAGGGACAGATTTCCTGTTACCAGGGTGACATCAGGGTGTAGGGACAGATTTCCTGTTTACAGGGTGACGTCTGGGTGTAGGGACAGATTTCCTGTTTACAGGGCGACATCAGGGTGTAGGGACAGATTTCCTGTTTACAGGGTGACATCAGGGTGTAGGGACAGATTTCCTGTTACCAGGGTGACATCAGGGTGTAGGGACAGATTTCCTGTTTACAGGGCGACATCAGGGTGTAGGGACAGATTTCCTGTTTACAGGGCGACATCAGGGTGTAGGGACAGATTTCCTGTTTACAGAGTGACATCTGGGTGTAGGGACAGATTTCCTGTTTACAGGGCGACATCAGGGTGTAGGGACAGATTTCCTGTTTACAGGGTGACCTCAGGGTGTAGGGACAGATTTCCTGTTTACAGGGCGACATCAGGGTGTAGGGACAGATTTCCTGTTTACAGGGCGACATCAGGGTGTAGGGACAGATTTCCTGTTACCAGGGTGACATCAGGGTGTAGGGACAGATTTCCTGTTTACAGGGTGACATCAGGGTGTAGGGACAGATTTCCTGTTTACAGGGTGGGTGTAGGGACAGATTTCCTGTTTACAGGGTGACGTCAGGGTGTAGGGACAGATTTCCTGTTTACAGGGAGACGTCAGGGTGTATGGAGGGACAGATTTCCTGTTTACAGGGAGACATCAGGGTGTAGGGACAGATTTCCTGTTTACAGGGTGACATGTCTGGGTGTAGGGACAGATTTCCTGTTTACAGGGCGACATCAGGGTGTAGGGACATATTTCCTGTTTACAAGAAGATGTCTGGGTGTAGGGACAGATTTCCTGTTACCAGGGTGACATCAGGGTGTAGGGACAGATTTCCTGTTTACAGGGTGACGTCAGGGTGTAGGGACATATTTCCTGTTTACAAGAAGATGTCTGGGTGTAGGGACAGATTTCTTGTTTACAGGGTGACATCAGGGTGTAGGGACAGATTTCCTGTTTACAAGAAGATGTCTGGGTGTAGGGACAGATTTCTTGTTTACAGAGTGACATCAGGGTATAGGGACATATTTCCTGTTTACAGGGTGACATCAGGGTGTAGGGACAGATTTCCTGTTTACAGGGCGATATCAGGATGTAGGGACAGATTTCCTGTTTACAGGAAGATGTCTGGGTGTGGGGACAGATTTCCTGTTACCAGAGAGATGTCTTGGTGTAGGGTCAGATTTCCTGTTTAGCAGGGAGACATCAGGGTGTAGGGACACAATACTTGTTTACTGAGAGATGTCTGGGTTTATGGTAATACTTTCCTAATGTAGGTTATCATTGTCCTGTAAAAATTTCAACATCCAAAGAGGAATACCTCTTGCTTTTTCATTGATTTGCATTTCATGAGCTAAAGAATTGGTGGTCCATTTCAGTCACAATTTATAGCACTTCACTTTAGGGTTCTTTCTTTGATGATCAATCAGTCCGTTAACTTTGAGTATCAGCAAGACCGCTCACATTTAAAACGTTAGCAGTGGCATTGAGATAAGTAATTGAGCTCCTTTAGCACTCCATCAGCATCAGCTGAGTGGCAGACAATATTAAGTTCTATGCACCGGTTATGTCTGTTCAACCTGGCCCTTTGAACAGAGATCTGGTATGTTACCAAACAAAAACAGAACGTGCCATACTATTTTTAGTATTTATTTTGAATATGTACTTTCAATTAAAATTTTTGTCATTTTTATTCAACTCCCTTGCCACGTATCGTTATGAAGTCGTTTCTTTTTAAACAATTTTTTTTATAATAATTAACATTATTAACGGACAAAATCCGGATACAACGTTGAAATTCATTTCCGTGCATTCTAATTAGGCCTAGAATCTATATTTATTCTGATCAATATTTCGCAGATTTACAGCTTCAGAAGAACGGCAGTATTGTAGGCCTACCCAGCCTGATAATGGTCTGTGCACAGCGACTGTGAGGCGGTTACATAATAACCTGAACCAATGGTAAACCACAGATTGTGTTTATACTTACAAGTTGGCCGATGAATCAATGAGAGTCAAATATTCTTTGTGCTTCCAGACAAGCTGCTTGAGGCAGAGAAAACCATTCGTTTGATCGTGGTCGTGGGAACACTTAGTCAAAACGTACTAAATTCAGGATAAAATTTACAATATTTACATGAAAATCATACATTTCCGTGACCAAGTTATTGTATTCTGGTTATTTAATTTTCGGGTTCTTGAAATAAATAAAATTAGTAGATAATGGAATAAAAAACTGGACTAAGGACCCACTGTCCATGAACTATTCCTATCTCATGATTCAGGCCAACCTTAACATTTCATTTGTTAAATATCTCCCTTTTGAAATACATTAAAATATAATGATATATGAACGAAAACAGGCTGTATTGTCAAAGAAAATATTGACCAGCCTAGGATTCTTGATTCTTTATCTTCAGATCACGTACATTGGATGAGGGTCACGTGACAGAGTTTACAGGATTGACAATTAACGAGTTTAAAGAAATCTTACCTTATTGTTTTATCTCTAAACAAATTGGACCGGACAGACCACTGTCTGTGAAGACGGACTGAATAAAACAAGCCGAATTGTCAACATTTTGATTGTAGCATTTCAAACATAAGTCAGGATAAATGCGAAAAAAATAAGAAGACCAGGTGTTCCCGCCATGGAAATCTTGGTCAATCCAAGTAAGTAATGTCAGGTTCTCAAATGAGAACAATGTATACTACAACGGAACCAACAGGTCATCTAATGAGTATCAAACACGCCAAGCTTTGTATCGCACAAAGAAAAAGAATATTTTTCAAAGCTCGCCAGAAAGTAAAATGAGATTAGTAGGCCCGCCAAATTTCCTAAACAGACAACTCCGGTCAAAATAGTCAAACCGATAAGAGCATACGTAACACCTACAGAACAAAAGCTCGCCTGAATTCTTTTTTATCACTGAACCCCATCTAGCATTAGAAGGTGGATTCATAAACTGGATTTTTGATCTCAATGTACTAATAGCTAAACTGGAAATATTGCAATATATTATTTGATGCTTATACAGAAATAAGTCACATTACTACCGGAAGTAACATTAAACCCTACAGCAACCCTCAATCCAAACACCCAGTACTCCTATACACATACTCTTATAAAGGAGTTCATTGACTTGACTTTAGATTTGACACAAAAGCCTACAATATTTACAAAAAAAAATCTCAAAAATAATTTACAAAGATTCCCGGAGGTAATAGATTAGATCCAAGGAAACCAGGAAACCAAATGTCCGTTACATACTTATGATTATTGTTGATGTCTTCCAACACAGGCACTAAAAACTTGACTTTATTTCGACACCAGAATGCGCGAAGACCAAAATACTTGAAAAAAAATCCTTTCCCTCAAAAATCATTTTAAAAGCCTCCCGGAAGTAATAAGGGATACTCAAAGAATCCCTGAAACCAACCCAATTCAACTATCAGTTCCCTAAAGTCCTAAACTGACTTATTTCCATAGAGTTACTAATTCCAACTCCGGAGAGTATTAAAATTAACCCCCAAATCAACTAACGAACCCAAACATTAATACCCCAGATCACTTATAAAGGATTTTTCTTTTATGCCTTTCAACAATTACCGACAACTTAACATTTAGAAACAAACGCTGACGTCGACGCTGGGGAAACAACATAAACACCAACCCCCTCCCCTCCCTCCCCTCTCCTCGGGCGATCTATACACGAAAACGGATGCGCGTGTGGACCTATTGTATTGGGTTAATTTTATCATGTCATTAGTATATCCCTAATCTCCAGTCAAGCGTTTGGAGTGACCACGATTATCTTATCTGCTCCAAAACCCGGATTTTTTTGCTATGACTGACTGTAACAAACAGGTAAACTACACTAGAGTTTATTTGTAAGAAACCGCTTTGAGGTTAATTCGTTATTGTCAAAAAGTAATGAAATAAACACGATTAAGTAATGGTAACTCAAATCTGAGGTTCCGATATATTACACCTTTAATATCTATGCACGTGTTCTTTGCAAGACCATATCTCCGTAACATGCGTATATATTGCACCAGTGTCGTATATATATAATACAGAGACTGGCAACCCCCTCCCTCCAGTTCTCGTAGGATCACATATGACTACATTGTCTTATTGAAAGAAATGTATCGAGATTTTGGTGGGAGTATGAAAAATCTACATACCCTTTTGTAACTTCAATGAGTTGCATCAGAGACCTATCATGGTGGTATTGAGAATTGAGCTGAGTGATTTAAATGTGGGGATTTTAAAACTTCAAAATATTTTTTGACCAACAACAAGCAACAGAAAGAGCGTATTTTATTTCAAAGTCAAGAACGGCACAGATCCCATAAACACACGATCAGCGGTGGTCGATACTAATATGATATTATGTCATTAAAGTCAGAAGATGAAAAGATCAGGAATAGGCTAATTTTGCATACCCAAGAAGGAAACAAAAGAATTCAGTTTGGCCACCAATGACATAAGTCACTATTCAGGGATTAATCAAGACAAATTTTACTACCGGAAAAGGGTAGTATTCCCCAAGTGATATATTACCCCCTCTGAATATAAACAAATTCTTTGTCAAGAAAATATACTGAAAGCATTGGAAATTGATGTTGCTGATGAACCTATCTCTAACTACATCAAATCATTGGATCGTGGGCTGTTCAAGTCACATGCATGTATCCTACTCCAGCAATGTCAAAGGTTATCAGATGGACTTATAATAAGATATCATGTGGATATAGTAATTACTGTGTCTGTGGTCCAATATTCATTTGTCTTTGGTTTAGTGACTGTTCATAAAAAACTTCTTGTTTTCACTATTGCTTGAAAAGTATGGGATGGATCTTTCTCAGATATGATTTGTATATTCTCCTTGGTCTCTAGTTGTGTTTGTGTGATTTTTATCGGAAAAACAAACTAGCTGTAAGAAACTTATCTTAGATTTTGACAATGAAAGTTTGTTATCACTTTTTCATGAAAAACAGGATGGTTCCTTTTCTCCAGTCTTTGTCATTATAGTTGTTACCTTTTCATTTTTGGTCAGAAAAACAAAAACACTGCCAGTCAGTCATCGTGCGTTTTGACATTAAAATTCGTCATGGTTATTCCTTGAGAATAACAAGATGGTTGATCTTTCTGAAATTTGATAGGTAGATTTCCCAGGGTCCTGTTGTGTCCTTTTGATTGAGGGACTATTCAGAACATCTTTTAATATCATTTAACTATGAAAGTATGTTATTGTTAGTTCTTGAAAGATTAAATTGACTATCATTGATTACCATGGGAAAACAGGGTCCTGTTGTGTCCTTTTGATTGAGGGACTATTCAGAACATCTTTTAATATCATTTAACTATGAAAGTATGTTATTGTTAGTTCTTGAAAGATTAAATTGACTGTCATTGATTACCATGGGAAATCAGTGAGATTCATCAGTCATTAATCCTTAAGTCACAATAAATCCAAAATGACAATAAGCAGAGTCAACAGTTAATCCAAAATGACAATAAGCAGAGTCAAAAGTTAATCCAAAATGACAATAAACAGAGTCAACAGTTAATCCAAAATGACAATAAGCAGGGTCAACAGTTAAGCCAAAATGACAATAAGCAGAGTCAACAGTTAATCCAAAGTGACAATAAGCAGAGTCAACAGTTAATCCAAATTGGCAATAAGCAGAGTCAACAGTGAAGCCAAAATGACAATAAGCAGAGTCAACAATTAATCCAAAGTGACAATAAGCAGAGTCAACAGTTAATCCAAAATGACAATAAGCAGAGTCAACAATTAATCCAAAGTGACAATAAGCAGAGTCAACAGTTAATCCAAAATGACAATAAGCAGAGTCAACATTAAAGACAAATTGATAATGAATAAGTGTTAGCTAACAATATTGCCAAAGTGGTAATAAATGCAGACTGACAACAAGCTCATTGTTACACCTATCATTTTTCAGCAGAGTTGCAAACAAAAGCTATTTCACTTTACTTGGATGAGCCCACTCTGGTTTTGAATGTTTTTGCTGCTCAGCTTACAGCAGGGAAAAGTTGTAGCACCTATAAGGCTTTATACTCATTAAAAATCTGTCTAGTAGTAAGACAGTTTTTATACCAGACTTGATACTCCAGGGGTTGTAGTCAATTTTCCTCTTTGCATTCCTTGAACATTTCCTAGCAAAATTGGAGGTTCACTGTGTGACACCTGTTAGGATGAGATGACAAGTTTGATCCTTTGATATACATAAAATGAATCACAAGGTTGCATAAAGGTTTTGAAGTTCGGTGTCACTGCTTTGTAATCTGCGAAGGAGAATATTGGTCTGTGATTGGTCAGTTGTTTTTTCCTGAAATCCACTCTAGACCAATCAAATTACTACTTGTGCCTTCACTTTTGCCAGGAAGTGTTCCAGAGGTGCAGAGAGCAATGATGAGCGCAGCTCCTGGGCTATGGAGAATGTTTTTATTCAAAATTTTTCAAACAGCTGAACACTAGACTTCAGAATTATTATGTGATATTAAGAAGTACAGATCACTATAAAGATACACTTACAGCACATTGAGCACAAAACTCTTCAATTTTGAAAACAAGATTACTATAGTGATAACTATTAAAGGTGGATTTTAGCATTTTTTAAAAAATTTTATATTTCAGAAATGTGAGAAGAAGTTCATTGACATGTTTCAGTTAGAGGCACACAGTGGGACACATACAGGCGAGGAACCAAACATGATGAAATGTGAGAAAAATTTCAGTGATTCGTTTGGCTAGTCATCAGGACACTTAATGTGAAGAATCAAATATGAACGGCTGATATCTGAGAAAGAGCTAAGTGGCCTGTGTCAGCTAGAGGTACATAGCATGACACCTACAGCAATGGAATCAAGCATATTGAAATGTGAAACAGACTATAGCGACTCGTCTTGTCTAGAGGTACAAAGCACAGCACATACAGGACTGGAACCAAACTTGCCGAAATGTGAAACAGACTTTAATGACTTGTCTCAGCTAGAAGTACAAAGCACAGCACATACAGGACTGGGACCAAACATGTTGAAAAGTGAAACAGACTCTTATGACTTGTCTCAGCAAGAAGTACAAAGCATAACACATACAGGACTAGAGCCAAACTTGTCGAAATGTGAAACAGACTCTAGTGACTTGTCTCGGTTAGAAGTACAAAGCACAACACATGTAGGACTGGAGTCAAACTTGTTGAAATGTGAAACATTCTATAGTGACTTGTCTCGGCTAGAAGTATACACCAGAATACATTCCAAAAAAGACAAAAATTATGATGACCTACAGAATGACAAAAAGAATCCGTTCATGTGTGGTGTTTGTGGTGAAGAGTACCACATCCTTAGTGATTTACAATTACACATCAAAATACACCAAAGTGATACAGCACACACATGTGATGCTGACGAAGCAAAGACTGCTACAGAGGAGATAAGACACCGATGTGTTTTATGTGGCGAGGGATTTAGTCAAACACACAGCTTACAAATGCACATCAGATCTCATATAGGAGAAAAACTAATGAAATATGATATTTCTGGTAAAATGTTCGTTCAAGCATCTTGTGAAAAAACGGACATGGGAACACATATCGATACGGTCGAGAAGCCACACCAGCCTGAAGTTTGTGGTATGGAATTTAGCCAAGAAAATGATTTACATAGACACTGCAGTGTAAAACATACGCACAAATATCCGTATATATGTTATATATGTGACAAGAACTTCAGTCGCATATCATATTTAGAGGCACATATGAAATTGCATACAGGGGTAAAGTCATACAGTTGTCATGTTTGTAAAAAACGTTTTAAACACACAGATGACCTGCAGGCACATATGAATTTACATACAGGGGAAAAGTCGTACAGCTGTCACGTATGTGACAAGCATTATAAACAGGTGTTAAACCTTCAGAAACACATGCAGTCACATACACAGGAAAAGTCCTACAGTTGTCACATATGTAAAAAAAATTTTAAACGTGCATTTAACTTGCAGACTCACATGAAATTACATACAGGGGAAAATTCATACAGTTGTTATGTGTGTAGCAAACAATTCTTAAGGGCAGGTAGCCTGCAGACACACATGGCGTTACATACAGGGCAAGCTTTGTACAAGTGTTGTATATGTGAAATCACCTTTAGTGATATTGTTGATTTGCAGGTGCACAATTTGTCACATTCTGGTGAATATATATACAAATGTGACACTTGTGGTATGAAATTTCAACACAACTCTGACTTACAGGAGCATTTAAAAATACATCCGGAGGAGATATCACATGAATGTGATACATGTGGCGTAAAACTTGCAAGCGCCTCTGCCTTACGAAAACATAGAAAATTACATAAAAGGAAGGCGTCACACAAATGTGATGCATGTAATGAACAATTTGAACGTGCATCTGACTTAAAAAAGCACGTTAAATTACATACAGAGAAGGAACAATACAAATGTGATACATGCAGTGAAAAGTTTGAGTGTGCCTCTGACTTAAAAAAGCACGTTAAATTACATACAGAGAAGGAACAATACAAATGTGATACATGCAGTGAAAAGTTTGAGTGTGCCTCTGACTTACAAAAGCACGTTAAATTACATACAGAGAAGGAACAATACAAATGTGATACATGTGATGAAAAATTTGGATGCAGGGCTGAATTAGGAAAGCATATTAAGCTTCATAAGGGTAAAAAACCATACACATGTGATGTATGTGGTCAAATCTTTAAACGCAATGCTGGATTACAGATACACAAGAGAACACACACGGGAGAAAAGCCATTCATGTGCGACTTTTGTGGAAAAGGATTTAGTCAGGCACAAGGTTTACGATCACACATAACAACACATACGGGAGACAAGCCATACAAATGTCATGTCTGCAGTCAGTCATTTAGTCAGTCAGCTGGATTACGGGCTCATTCAAGGTTGCATACGGGAGAGAAGCCATACATGTGTAAAATCTGCGGTAAAGAATTTAGTCAGATGATCAGCTTTCAAAGACACCATCGTACACATACAGGTGAAAAACCATACAAATGCGAAATATGTGGAAAGAAGTTTAGTCAGAGTAATAACCTACAGAGACACTTCAGAACACACACAGGTGACAGGCCATACACATGCCACGTGTGTGATAAAAGTTTCAGCCGGTCTTCTTACCTACAAGCCCACATGCGGACACATACAGGCGAGGCTCCATTCAAATGTAACATTTGCGGTAGGTTTTTTAATCATGAATCTAACATAAAACGACACTTGAAAACACATAGAAACGGACAAGAATTTAAATGTGATTCTACTACCGAATTAGAGAAACACGCGGTGTCACATACAGATGGGATGACTGACCCTCAGCTATGTATAAGGGCTGAGATCACTGGAAAACTAAATGACTGTGAATATGTTAGTGGAAACTCCATTCAGAGGATAGAAACGGAGACACATACAAGACAAAAGTCATATAACATTGGAGAGGAGCTCAGTGTGGAAACTATAGAGAAGAAACAAACTGGGATACATCTAGAGGAATTGACATCTGAAGATGATTGTGGTCGAACTGGAGAGTTGTCTAACCAACAGAACAATACCAACTCATATGGAAATATTCTAGAGAAACAATTTGAATGTGGGATCTGTAATAAGGAGTTTTACGAAATTTCAAACCTACAAAAACACATGAAAACACACACGGGGGAAAAGATTAATGAGTGTTGACAGTATCATATCAGTCCTAATAATATTACCTGATCTGTGATAAAAGTGGGCAATGTCAGCATTGTAGGACTTTGTATGTGGTAAGGGTAGGTGACATCAACATTGTATGACCTTGTCTGTGGTAAGGATGGGTGACATCAACATTGTAGGACCTTGTCTGTGGTAAGGATGGATGGCATCAACATTGTATGACCTTGTCTGTGGTAAGGATGGGTGACATCAACATTGTATGACCTTGTCTGTGGTAATGGTAGGTGACATCAACATTGTATGACCTTGTCTGTGGTAAGGATGGGTGACATCAACATTGTTTGACCTTGTCTGTGGTAAGGATGGGTGACATCAACATTGCATGATCTTGTCTGTGGTAAGGGTGTGTGACATCAACATTGTATGACCTTGTCTGTGGTAAGGATGGATGACATCAACATTGTATGACTTTGTGGTAAGGGTGGGTGACATCAACATTGCATGATCTTGTCTGTGGTAAGGGTGTGTGACATCAACATTGTATGACCTTGTCTGTGGTAAGGGTGGGTGACATCAACATTGTATGACCTTGTCTGTGGTAAGGATGGTGACATCAACATTGTATGACCTTGTCTGTGGTAAGGATGGGTGACATCAACATTGTAGGACCTTGTCTGTGGTAAGGATGGGTGACATCAACATTGTAGTACCTTGTCTGTGGTAAGGATGGGTGACATCAACATTGTATGACCTTGTCTGTGGTAAGGATGGGTGACATCAACATTGTATGACCTTGTCTGTGGTAAGGGTGGATGACATCAACATTGTATGACCTTGTCTGTGGTAAGGGTGGGTGGCATCGACATTTTATGACCTTGTCTGTGGTAAGGGTGTGTGACATCAACATTGTATGACCTTGTCTGTGGTAAGGATGGGTGACATAAACATTGTAGGACCTTGTCTGTGGTAAGGATGGATGACATCAACATTGTATGACCTTGTCTGTGGTAAGGATGGGTGACATCAACATTGTATGACCTTGTCTGTGGTAATGGTAGGTGACATCAACATTGTATGACCTTGTCTGTAGTAAGGATGGGTGACATCAACATTGTTTGACCTTGTCTGTGGTAAGAAAGGGTGACATCAACATTGTATGACCTTGTCTGTGGTAAGGGTGTGTGACATCAACATTGTATGACCTTGTCTGTGGTAAGGATGGATGACATCAACATTGTATGACCTTGTCTGTGGTAAGGGTGGGTGGCATCGACATTTTATGACCTTGTCTGTGGTAAGGGTGTGTGACATCAACATTGTATGACCTTGTCTGTGGTAAGGATGGATGACCTCAACATTGTATGACCTTGTCTGTGGTAATGGTGGGTGGCATCATCATTGTATGACCTTGTCTGTGGTAATGGTGGGTGACATAAACATTGTAGGACCTTGTCTGTGGTAAGGATGGGTGACATCAAAATTGTATGACCTTGTCTGTGGTAATGGTAGGTGACATCAACATTGTATGACCTTGTCTGTGGTAAGGAAGGGTGACATCAACATTGTAGGACCTTGTCTGTGGTAAGGAAGGGTGACTGTTGTAGTTGTATAAAACAAGTCTGACATATGCCCAATTGACACCAGAGCATTACAAAATAGTGGATAGAACATCCAAGTTTGGGTTGCTTACTGTACAGTATTTTCAACACATAGTTGAAGTCATAAAAAACAGGGATGTATTTTAGTAGGATGATGTATGGTACATATAGAAGAAGCAAGAGTGTCCATTAACAATATATTTAGGAAATGAGACTTAGAATTTATCATAAGTTTCTGACAAGTTGAGATGAAAAATGTTAAAAATTTCATAAATCTCATATTGTGAAAAGTGTTTTTGTAGCGTTATACAAAATCTAAATTGGGGATATTGTCACATGTCGTCGCTTTTGTTAAGCATTTGATGCTGTAAGATTATGACATCATAGTAGAAATGATAGAAACTTTCAGCCAACCAGAACTCTGCAAGGTCATATTAGATGTGTGTCATAAATGATTTTAAGTAAATGGTTTTATTACTATTACACTGATATTTTGGATGCTGTGTTTAAGTATAGTCAAACCTTGTTATACCAAACTTTAAAACCTATTTAATTCGAAGTATTTCGTCAGTTCTTGTCAAACTTCAATTCAACGTGGAACATTCAAGTCAACTTAAATCTAAAACTCAGATAAGTTTTTCCCGGGTTCTGTGGACTTTTAGATCATGAGAGGCAACTCTATGTGGGCAATTTTATTGGTGTTATTGATGTACCATCATCTCTGTAGAAAATATTTCTAGATGCAGTTTTGTTGATTATAACACATATTACATACTTCTGTATATCAGGAATCTTTAGCCACTCTTTAACTGTCACAAAATACTGTAAAATCAGTTAATTTTTGTGAACAATTTATTTCTGTTGACTTCCAGGGCATTTAACTGTCACAAAATACTGTGAAATCAGTTAATTTTTGGGGTGATTTATTTTTGTTGACTTCCAGGGCATTTAACTGTCACAAAATACTGTAAAATCAGTTAATTTTTGTGAACAATTTATTTCTGTTGACTTCCAGGGCATTTAAGGTTAATTTTTGTGAATAATTTATTTCTGTCAACTTCCAGGGCATTTAACTGTCACAAAATACTGTAAAATCAGTTAATTTTTGTGAACAATTTATTTTTGTCGACTTCCAGGGCATTTAACTGTCACAAAATACTGTAAAATCAGTTAATTTTTGGGGTGATTTATTTTTGTTGACTTCCAGGGCATTTAACTGTCACAAAATACTGTAAAATCAGTTAATTTTTGGGGTGATTTATTTTTGTCGACTTCCAGGGCATTTAACTGTCACAAAATACTGTAAAAACAGTTAATTTTTGGGGTGATTTATTTTTGTTGACTTCCAGGGCATTTAACTGTCACAAAATACTGTAAAATCAGTTAATTTTTGTGAACAATTTATTTTTTTGTCGACTTCCAGGACATTTAACTGTCACAAAATACTGTAAAATCAGTTAATTTTTGGGGTGATTTATTTTTGTCGACTTCATGGGCATTTAACTGTCACAAAATACTGTAAAATCAGTTAATTTTTGGGGTGGTTTATTTTTGTCGACTTCATGGGTATCGAACTGTCACAAAATATTGATTAATTTTTGTGGAGGTATAATTTTCATTGACTTTATGCCCACGAAATTTAAACGAAATCTAAAGTATAATTAGTTTTATTGAGCTCTGTTCATCGACAAAATCAAATGTCCAAGAGAACAAACAAACAAAAATGTCCCCCACGAAAATATAATCAAGTGTAACGTTTTCTGTGCTTTTTTGCCACTGTGTCCTGTACCAACAATCACAGGTTGTGGTTACCCGGTATATACACGATAAGAGGGCGAATTAAACAATATAGCGAAAATTTTACTGAAATACTGAGAGAAAAAAATATACAGACTCGTAAATAAATCATAATGAATGTTTATTTGGACATGGATTTTGTAATTTATTGATGTCACTTACACACAATAAAATGGTTTAAACATTAACTGAAAAAATAAAAACAATATTTGATAAATTCTTTGATGCATGGAAAAGTATGGCGCCATCCTAATTGCTGTCTCTATCAATGACACGGATTCTTTTAAAATGCCTTGGTTCACACTCAAGACTCTCAGAACTGGGATGGGTTTGACCACTGATAACATAGCTAGAGTTACTGGCTTGCATCGACTGCTGACTGCCATGAAAAATGGAAATTTACGGTGGAGTTGAAGGTTGTGTTCTTTAGTATATGTTATGCAGATCTATAGCAGACAACAGTCAAAGGGAGATAATTTGTTAAAAGGTGAAAAAAGTAGTCCTGTCTGGAATTGGAGTAGATTTGTATCGGTCTCTCTGATTGGTCAATCCTAAAAGTGAAAAATATTGCTGTTATCAGTTTGAGATATCCCTATATTTTACTGCTAAAAATGTAATAAAACATTTTTCCAAATCATTTACAATTGTAGTCCATTTTAATTTTCATATTTGAATACTTATATATTTATTTATTTACATGAATATTAAAAATGTTTTATCTTTAAAGTTTTGTTTTATCATTAAAAACATATGGAGAATACCGATCACTTGATGTTACCATATCAATTGGTTTGTCGAGTTTATCATTCCGTGGACAGTCAGCGTAACCTAGATGTCGGGTCTCCTTGAAGTAGTTGGTGACTACATCACTGAACAACATGGGGGAGGACCATCACATGCCATCAAGAGCAATATGTGTAAATGTCACGAACACAATAACACAGACTGGACTTTTTTCTGCTTCCAGAGAAACACATACATGTACCACCATGGGTAAAGAAGGTTGAACCATGCATGCACTGTGGGGGTTCACCTGATGTAACATAGCCTGGTACTGCACCGATTGAGCTATCACAGCCCGTTTAATCTAAAGACGTCCAGCATTATGATGAGGGTCTAAAAGGGGTTGGGTCACCACATTTAACAACTCTCCGGGTAAATAAATGTTACCAGACACGTTTTGGTACTGAGCACCATTTACTGCAAAGTTTGAGAAAATTGCTCCGACATCCTTGTGGTGGGAAATGATGTAAATATAATTTTTCATTTCTATGATAATTGTATAGTTAATCAGTTCAAATGTCCTACAGAAATAGAATCTTAAGATATAATCTATAGCTTTTTTGAAAAATTTTGTCTTTTATTGTCTCTTATTAGGTCTTCTGATTCAAGATGACCTACACTCATAATGTTTTAAATTGTTCTTTGTCATCTGTCATCTGTAATGTGTGAACTTTTCACATTTAAAATTACTTCTCAAGTTCAACCAATGAAATTCAGCTGAAAATAGTCTGAAATGATCCAGATATATTCCTGACCAAGCATTGTTCCTCAGGTCACTGAAAAATCCAACATGGCTGTTTTCTTGAAAAATCCATTAGATTTAGCTTCTTCTCAAGTTCCCTAGTGCCAATG